TGAAAGTGAAAGATCAAAGAAGATATGTTATAAAGGAACATGTAAAGAGTGACAAAGCAGTGGTTGCTTACATAGAATGGTAGGTTTTTGCTGTCACCATCTTCAACCATTTTAGATAGCCACTTTATGATCTACAAAAGGTCAAACAAGCAATGTAAACAAAAAGTCAACAAAACTAATGAATTCATAAGATTTTTTCTAAGTCAACAAAAGGTCAAACTAGTGTTGTACCTCCGGAGTTTCAGCTGGTCCGTCATAACTAACAACGAGTTGTGCAGCGGGATCTACATCATCAGCTTCAGATTCCCATACAGTTTTGGGCCAGTTACTTGTTTTCTTCTCTAGATTAGCACTTTCTGTAGCATTTCTATGGTACCGAATAATCAAGATCCTCGGGACATCAATTGGGGACTTCCTAGTTCCACACGTGTCATAGCTCGTTTCCGATTGAACATAGAAGAAACAGTATTTCTGAATGAAAAATCAAGAGGGAGTCAGATAGTATTAAGAAATCCTGATGGATTCAGGTAACAGAACAGATTCTGGCCATAATACTTACACTCTGGACTTCTCCATCGAGCCACGCAAGTGTAAGTCGCTTGTTTTTGTGTGCAGAAGCTGCTGGAGCTACTGATGGATCCTTGGAGGCTTCATCTGATGCCTCATGGTTTGACAAAGTATTTTGTACCCTGCACATGGTCTACAAGCTTGTAAGATTAGAACACATTTCTAATCAGGAAGGAGACGAGAAGTTCAGGGAAAAATGAACGAAGTTTTAAAAAGACTTTACTCACTTCCCTCATCTTATTGAGTTCCGCGCTCTGTCTTCCAACAAGGACGGCACAGTACCACGTCGCTGTTTCAAAACCAGCTCGAGAATATCCACGTGCATCACAACCAAGTTCCATTGATGTTGTGCTTCTTAGTTGAGGAAGCTCTTTAAAGACAAATGTATCAGAAACCAATTAGAACCATTTATATATAAGACTGCAAACTGAGAAGAAAGAGTAAGACCCCAAATATACTAAACATATAACGACTAGAAGCAGAGAGGAATTACGTAATTGCTTGTTCTGCTCCAAAATGTCCAAAAACCATGTACGGTTGCCTGACCCTGCAATAGGCAATATCTTATACAATTAGTTGCCAAACCAAGCATCATTAGTTAGCCAATACTCGGTTCAAGATAGTGAAAGACCATGATAGACAACAGGTTTTAAACCCGGATCCTTCATAATCACCATGGCAGGTGCAGATTCCACCTCTAACCTGTTACAAGAGAGAAATTATGAGATGACCAGATGTCTAATTATGCGGTGGGGAGTAACAAAGGGTTACAACCAAAACAGATATATTGATAAGAAATCTTTCGCAGACAATAGCGCCAATAAACAGAATTAGAAATGCAATGACATACGCATTCCACCAAAAAGATGCATCCTCTTCTCTCCAAAGCACGTAAGATAGAGAGGCAAAATTCCAATAATCTTTTGCAGCTTGGCGTACAGAAGGAGTGGCTCGTTCCCCTGTTTGTGAAAATAAAATGACTCTCACCTAGAGTGTAGGAAGATCAGAGAAAGGACGAGAAAATGAAATTAGTTTAGTTTTTAGATGTGACTCAGACAACTATCTACATGCCTGCTCGACATGTTATTTATAAGTTACGTAGGATGGAAAAAGGAAAAATTCTGAAGTGAAACCTTTTAAGAAAGTTGACAAACCTTATTAGGTGGAACTTTGGAGAGAAACTTGGGTACCTGTATGCAATATGTATTTCTAATTATTGTTTATTACCAAACAAACATATTTCTAATTACCTAAAAAAGTAAGGAAATAGTCCAAATATCCAATTGTGCCAACATATGAACTAAATAAAACATGTAAGCAAAACAGTGTCACTTTTACGGACCATGACATGGAAGAATCTATAAGACTTAATACTACATCGTCTGCAGCTTGGCAGATCAGAGTATACCCATGGATCCGCTACCCAAAACCATTGACATATATGTTGATGGAAGGTTATAGCAAAGGCATCTGGTTGGACTACCACTTCTCAAGGTACTGCCGAAGCAAGACTACCAACTAAGTAGGACATCACATTCAGATATATGGGTCCTCTAAACTTTACTTCATCTGCGATCAGTTTCTATCTTCGGAAATAGCAATGAAAGGAATATATACCAGTGTTTCTTTTGTGTGATAGAATACTCTAGGCAACTCCAGCACCGTGGTTGCAAACCAATCAGTAACTGCGTCTGTAGACAGCTCTCCATCAAACCTAACAAATAGATTTAGAGTATTATTCTCATCAAGAGGAAACTAAGTGACTAGTCCAAAGAAAATATCGCAACCCACAAAGCTTTCCTGTTAAGCTAAACGAGTTAGTCACTGAGCTACCTGATAAGACAGTCTGCAGTTTTGCAATGTGGGGGGAAAGCGACAATTGAAGGAAGGCCTGCATGCATAATATGAGGTTATAACAGGAGGGAAAATCTATGCATCTTACAGTATCTCATGAAAGCTCTAGGACGAATCCAAGGCATATTTAATCATTACAGCTTTCCGAAATACAAACATCGCCATAATAGACGAGTGTGAATGTATAAGGGTAACTATATAGTAGTGTTCAAAATAGCCCAAACCTATAGGATGTAATATACTGTCATGGTACAATCGTACAAAGTATAAACACACGATTACAGAACCAGAGTAACTAGGTCCTCTCTACATTTTTTTGAATGGGTCCTCTCTCACTTACTTCAGTCTACTTTTTACTTCTTTTACATCCCTGCATCTCATTTTCTTGTCTAGGTTCTTGGCAGCCTAAGTAAAGTGATAACTTACCTTTTCTAAAAAGTACTTGTCCTGTTGTTTTTTTCTCAGCGAGGTAGGTCACAAGTCGAACATCACCAAGCTCTACCATCGCATGATTAGCAACCCCATCCAACAAGTCAACTGCAATTATACAAGCGAGCTGAGCTTAACGAGATGATTAGTAAGAACATTCCAGTCACAGTAAAGCATGCCAACACTATCGGTAGCTATTAATCTAATGTTCTCTCCTACTTGTTAAAACATATCTTTTGATATCTGGTGGCGTATCGATGCTACACATGGTTCATACATCAAAGACACCATATTCCTAAAACTAGCACTTCTCTTTTGCAGATACTTCAACGTTCCCTTTTCATATGCACTGTTGTAACTCTTCAATCTATATAATTGGAGTGTCTTTAACTAAAGCTAGCAAGACATTTTCACTTTAAAAGTACTACAGAAAGAGAAATCCTACCAATCCTTCTCCAGGCCGTAGAGAACTGAGCAGAGCTGTTGCTACCAGAAGAATACAGCTACAGGTATTAACATTTCAGTTAATCCAAAATGTACAGAACTTCGAGCTTTAGAATAATGAGAGTCACAAATCTAGATGAGCTTTTACCTGAATGAGCCATGGCTTCGAATCTTGGAGCTTAGACGCAAAGTCTTGGGACGTAATTTCCATAAAACCTTCACGCTCAGGCTCTAAAAAGATTTAAGAGCTAACAAGTTGGCATCACAATAATCTTATGAAACGAATTCAAGAAAGAGAATTGGAAATGTCAAAAGAGGTCTGTCAGTGAACTGACCATAAGAAACCGCTTCCAGCAGGGGAATTTTTATTTTACCAAAATCTTCCACAGCATATTGTTTTTCAAGCTCATCTATAATATGCTGCAACAATTAAATCAAGCAATTGATTTTCCAAAGAAAAAAAGTCAGAAGAAATCTTTCTTTGTGTGCAACATAAAATGAAGAAACAGAAATAAAAACTCACCAGTGATTCATCAATGCCATACAGGTCATAGTCCCTTTTCCAAACTAGATTTGTTAACAGCTCATAGGCGTATTGTATCTGCAAAATTTTAGCATCACTTAACAATGTTAGTAGAAACCTAAAAGGCTGATAGAATTAAACACACCAAATATCCACCGACCTTAACAAAATCAGCAGGACGAGCATCTCCTGAATCTGAATCCCTGTGACGATCAATTTCAAGAAAAAACAAATAAGAGTTCAATTTTTTTTTTTTTTTAAGTGCGTCTCTAACATACTTCCTACTTAAACACACACAAAGTCTAGTTCTAAAATCCAATTGTAATCATCACATCCCTGGTCTATACTTTTTTAAAATTAACAAGTCTAGTTCTCAAATTCAGTTTCAGCAACGCTGCTGAGAGAAAACGAAAGCTAGAGGAAACTATTAAGGTAGCAGTTAGCAATCATGACTCATTATAGCTCTCTACTTCCACAGTCAATAACACAGGTTTGTTCTGAATTAAAAAAAAAAAAAAATCAATTGTATATCTGAGAAGATTACAAGTGAGCAAAACAAATAGAAACTTATATAAATATAACTAAAGAACTCAAGAGCACAACACTACACAGATACAACTCTCTGGAGTAGCCTTGAATTGATCGAATTCAAATTTTAAGCGAAAAAACAAAATTCGGGATCGAGAAAGTTACCAGTTGGAAGCAATAGCCTCGTAGGCCTCTCTCACTTCATCCACTGAACCGTACATCTTTACACCCAAAACTAACAAGTCACAAACGGAAAAAAATAAATTCAAATCAAAACGAGGCACTACAGTACGCAGTAATCGAGAAAGAGAGCGAGATGGTACCGTCGTAGTGAGAAGTAGGAAAGGAGCGAGGAAGAAGGAAGAGCTGGAAGAACATAGATAGTACGAATATGAAAATAGGAGCCGCGTAAGCTCTGAGGACTGAAGGTATCGACGGCGACGACGGAGTTTCATTCGCCATCGATCAAACTTTGATCAGAGAATCTCTTTCGATGTGTTGTTAAATCTCCGTTCGGATATTTTATTCCGCGAATTAATTAAGGGATCGACTCTATAAGTAAATCAATTATACTCTTTATCTAAAAGAACCCTCCAACTTTATTCTAATTCAATAAACGCCTTACATTTTTAAAATCGGCACAAATAAACCTCATTAAGTGGTTTGATTCTCAAATCTCAAGGGTTTAGAAATGCGAAGAGAGAAAGATCCGGTTCGGTTTAAGTTTTTTAATTTAAACCGAAACCTTCGAGAGAAGACGCGTCGCGGCGGAACCGATGGGGATCTCTTCCTCCTTACCTTCATACTCCGCCTCTTTCTCTAACTCCACCGCCGCCTCTCTTCCTCCGTCGCCGCCGTCTTCATCGCCGTCGCGCGTCGATGAGAAACCTCACGGAGCGGAGAGGCCTCGTTTCTTCGATGGAAAGGCGAAGAACAAGTGCTGGGCAAATGCTGACATCGTCCCCGGTAGACATCCCGAGAGGTGGCGTAAAGACGCCGCGGGGAACGTCGTCTGCAAGAGATTCGGAAATTGCGGCGGATGTCTCTGTTTCGAGTACGATCACATTGTTCCTTATTCCAAAGGTTTGATTGATTCTCCCAGTTACATTTCAGTTTAGGCGTGTTTGTGATTTATGGATTGCAAAAATATAGATTTATTGATTGTTGGTTATGTGTTTTTATATAGGTGGAGAATCGACGGCGGAGAATTGTCAGATTCTTCAAACGAGAGTGAACAGATTTAAAGCAGCTCAAGAGAATGTTGATGCTGAAACACTTAAGGGTTATTCATGTGGTTTGCAGTTCACTGGTATGTATGTTTACATGTGAATCTGATGATGATGATGGAATCATAGATTTGCTCCATTGTTTGGTTTCTTTTTCAGTGTACATTTGAGTTTTATAGGAGATATCATCACTGGTAAGATGTGACAAAGCTTGAATGTGATTCTTGTATTTGATTATGTTGATATCATGCAGATTTTAAGTTCATGAAGAGTATATATACTTTGCTCTAGATACCTCAGTTATGCAATGGTCTTTCACTCATAAAGTGTTGTGTTGAATAGCATGTTCCTTAGAGGTTATGCCAATCTCATACATGTGGGAGCTGCTTTTGCTTTAGATCTTCTTTCTCTTTCTCTGTTGGTTTTATCATGTCTAAGAATCTCACTTGAGCTACTTGCAATCTTGTTAAAGCGCAAAAGAGACTTCTGTGAGTTCTTCTAGGTCTTGCTAGTTCACATTTTATATGAGTGAAGCAAAGTGTAAATGCTCTTGAGAAATGGATACTCTTTCCAAAAAGACTGTAGATAAGCTGACATGTTTTCTGTTCTTACAGTTATGATGATCATATACACACGTTGATTCAAGGGTGTGTTGTGTGTCTATTCTCTGCGTATATTTGCTATCACTTCGATTTCTTATAATGTGAACATGCAGACAAGGAGCTGGATGTCATTGAAATGGCGGTTTATGGAGACGTGTTACGACCTGGAAAAGAATGTCGCTGTAAAACCGTTGCCGAGCTGCTTGGTCAGCACAAGTCCAAAGATGGTAAAGCCTCGTGCGAGTTACCATCATAATAATAAAGTGATCGACCATCTCTCTGGAAAGCATTGATTCACCTCATATGCTCAAACTTTGCAGATCAGATTTTATATCCATCTGAAATCTTCTACTTGATTTGGAAACCATTTGTTTGTGAGAGTAGTATGATACTTACTACACAGTTTCTCCTTTGTACTTTGTTGTAAGATTTGGAAATAATATTCAGATTATACGAATACCTAACTTTAAGACAACAAAGATTGTTAGTATCTGTCGACTACCTACACTAGGTTGTATGAAATATCAGAAAACGGGAAAGGTCCGCAATTATGTGAGCTATTTAAAGAAACATGTCTGCCGAAAAGTTAAAGTTCACACAATTTGCCTTTCACTTTATTTTTTCTTATTTAAAGACCTTTTTTCCTTTTATTTTTGAATAGTGAAAATTTTTGGTGAAAAAACATTATATTGATCAAATTTTAACCAAATATCTCATTTATTAATATACCTACACAAAAAAAAAACAAATTGTTCTGGTAAATTCGAAATTCGGATTTTGAAAAGAGCATCAATAACACAGTTTCTTAGTATGGTATTTTTTTAAAAAATAGGCATTTAATTAAATGCAAACAAAATTAATTTTGTATAACTAATCTTTAACTTATAGTTTTGCAACTAATTATAAAGGTGATTCTTATAACACGTGTTGGCATACTGTTTTTTTTTCTTTTCTCTTTTTGTTACCGTCATGATCTCAACGCTGATGAAGTCTTACTCTGTTTCACTAAAGAAACCAAAATGATCGAGAAAGTTGGCTCTCATTAATCGACATTAATGTATTTAAAAAAAAATAAGCCTTTTGTAAATATCAATCCTAGAGGTGTATTGAGATAATAATCCTCAAATAGCATAATAATCCTAAAATAACATAATAACAAATAATTGTTGCAAAACTCATAATATAAACAAGAGTTTCTTAGATAGTTCATCACAATGCAAAAATAATAGTGGGCGATGCTAACCGAACCGTGAATCCATTGATTTCTCTTGAAGTTTCTTCGGTTATTAACCCTCCACAGGCCCACCATGTGTGGAGGGATGCAATTTGGGTTGATAGGAACACCAAGGAAATCAGCATGTTGGAACAAGATGCTCCATTCACCAGCTGTCAGATTGTTGTCAGCAGATAGAGCAATTATTGTTTGAACCTCAAGAAGAAATACTATGCTCAATGCTGGAAAATTGGCCATCTAAACCTCAAGAGATGTATAAATTTAAATAATTTTTTTAAGATGATAATTCTATTGTTATTTAAACATGAATTAAAAAAAAAATTAAAATCTAATTTATTGAACTAGTTTCATAAATCACTTTGAAATGCACTGTTATTGAACAAAATTTAAGTTGGAGATTTTAGAATTTTTAAATGTTTCTGGAATGTTTAAGTGTTTCTAGAACGTTTAAAAAACTAGCTATAAAAAGGAAAATCCAAATCTCATAGTTTTAGATGAGATTCTAAAACGGTTTAACAAAATCAAACCAATATTCTCCAATTCACCTTCAATCATCTAAAAACTAAATAAAATTAAAAGTTCATAATACACTCCCTTAAATTTGGTTTACTGTTTAATGTAATTTAGTAAGGTTTAAATTATCTTATCAAATTTTCCTTAATAAGTTTAGTACATCCACACCTACACGTGTACGTGTTATTGAAATATACACTTCTTATAATTATCACTATTCCACCCCCTTATATATTAACTGATAAACTGATTAAATGATTTTTGTTGATTTGTCACTTATAAGAGAGTTCCATAATTAGTTGTTTTAATTTGATTAATTAATGGTTTTTATTTTTATTTATTTAATTCCTTTTTTAAAAAAGCTAAATAAGAAATAAGTTACAACAATAACCAAACAAATCATGTTAAACAATAATAGTTATCGCAAATAAGTAAAATTTCCTTGCGTATTTTATAGATAATAATAATAATATACAAAATTATATTTAAGTGCTGGTGGAGTGTGGTGTTTATGGTACTTTAATGATGCCTCGTGAAGATGGTGTTATATCTGTGTTATGTGAGGCCATGTTGGATTATGACTCATCAGGATGTTACATTGAGTTTATCTGTTTGGGATCCGTACAAGTCTTGTTTATAATAATGAGTCAAACTAACCAAATGGTATGTTGTATTTGTAAGAATCTTCTTTGTTTTGCAGTTGCATCATCATGAACAATATGGTATTTTGGTTTTTAATACACTCGCAAAAATCTACAAGGATCTCTCCTTTAATGAATAATGTTTTTGTCAACTTTCTTATAAACAGATCCCAAGTTGAATCTCTTAGTTGTGAACGAGTATATGGTGCAGGTTCATTGCATTCTGCATCCTCGTTCTACTGATCGAAGATATATCAACCCCCGCCTTATCCTCTGCAAGAAACAAGGTTCAACGATCAAAAGAGATGAGCTGGTAAAGTCTCATATCAAGCAATCTATAGACTAGTCAGATATTCAAGTACCTCTCCAGTATCTTGAAGCCGAAGTAGTTCCAATCTTTCTGAAGGTCTCCTATCTGTCAATGTCGCAAGCTGACACCCCAAGAAAACAAAGCCATTGAGTTAACTCAAGTAACAATGGCAGGAGTTGTGTCCATCTATATATAGCGTTTTGTAGATTACCCAGAAACTAAAGCGCTCGGGATCTTGAGGTGTAGGTATCATAGATTCAACAAGTAGAAGTGTTTCAAGTCTTCTTCTGTCTGCTTAAAACAAAAACAAAAAGGAAGGGAGAGACTCGGTTATGTCTGAAAATACTAAAGACTTAAGAGTATACAAAGTGGCACAACTACAAATCAAATAGTTGCTTACCTCCTTGTCTAGCTGCTTCCTTTGCTCTCTCTAGCCATGCCCGAGCAAATGATGCTGCACTGGTTGTCAGTTCCCGCAGCTGTAAGAAGTCACAAAGAAAAGGGAGGAAACATGAGAATGGATACAAACTCATTACAGGAAAGGCAGAGAAGTACTGAAATGGCATAATAGTACTGTTGAGATGTTCCGTAATCATACATCTGCTTTCTCTTGGTCGCTTTGTGGTGGTATATCTGTCACCCATTCAACCTCCGCAACACGATATCTGAAAAACAAAACAGATATTAAGTAGCCAAGCATTTGTGTTTGAACATGACTAAAATGATGATACATGTATGAAACAATGTACAGCAACTATGTTTGTATGAGGATCCAATATTTGATCTTCACAAATGTTGTAAAATAATGGAAATATGTGATGTTGGAACATGTATATACACTCTAACACGAATACAGAGACTATGTTATAAGAGAAACAATAAGATCTGGACAAGAACGGAACACTATGAAAAGGCTTACCCATCTTGATCCCAAGCTTTTACAATTCGACACCTTCTGTGGCTTTCCAGCTGAGAAAAACAGACACGAAGTTGATTAGTTGACACCTTACACATGAAATAAAACGACAAAAAAAAAGTAATAATATTCACCTCCAGGACAAAACGTCCATCTGGGAGTGGATCACACCTGTGTAATTTTCAAAACATTATCAGACTCTGTGAGTAATCCTAAGATAAAAATCATCAACTGAAAGGCATTAAGATTAAGAATTATAAGAAAGAAAGAAGCAACAGACTCTGTGATTTCGACTTCGCAAGCAACATCCACTGGTGAACCTGTCGCAGAATCAAGAGCTACCTATGAACATTGAAATGGACAAACCTTACTAGTCAGAAAAGTTTAATGACTGTATTGTGAAGAAGAACAAGCAACCAGAAAATTGACACGTCACACACCATTCCCATCCGATGGTTTCCCTCCATTATTCTTCTCACCTGTTTCAGTTAACACATGTTAATCAAAGTAAGAAAACTAGGAGAGATTCAGAAATAAGTTTTCCAAATGCAAACAGCAATATTGCTGCAAGTTATTGTAACTGTGGAAGTTTAAATCTTGGTTTTTCCCCCAAAATATGTACCATCTGTATTTATGTAGACTTTACAACAACTTTCACATTCTAAAATCATATAAGAGGATTGTGAAAGCAAGCCAGAAACGACGAGTAGGCTACTTAAGTTCTAAAATGACAGAACCGTAAGGGAATATGAAAAAAAAAATCACCATTAGTCGGTATCTTGGTTCAAATATGTGAAGAGACAACTTCTGACAAGGGATGATGACATCCATGACAAAAAGAGGCATACTTTCATTGCCTAAGTGGACCAGAGTGTCTTGCTCTGATTTCCTTTCAGCATACTCCTCTGGAAAGTTCTTTTGTATGATGTTATTCAATGTCACACTGCCAACACATAATTGCTTCAGTACAATAACTTTCAAGCATAATACATGATATGGCATGGAGCTTCAAGGAGAATAGATAGGAGTGCAAATCATTTACCTGACAGCACATGTTCTTGGAGTCATAAAAATGACAGTTCGACATAGTGGACATTTGTTGCCTATATCCCACAAAAGCATCAATAAGCAACACAATAGCAAAAAGAAGAAATTTTCACGAGTAAAATAACAAACAACCATCTAAACCCACCACGATCCATGGACTGAAAGAGGCATGATCGGCAGAATGTATGCCCGCATGGAGTTGTAGCAGGTTCATACAGCAATTTCAGGCAAACAGTGCAATCAAAGTCATCAGACCGCTCAGCCTTCCCATGAGTCTTTCTCGTCGAAGTAGGCATAACCTTCTCCAGTTCTTGAAGATTGGATCGGAGAGGATCGCTTCATGCGATCAGAAAGAAACTCCAAACTTTATGAACGACACATACTATTAGGAAGCCAAAACAGAATCAGAAATTATACACACACACTACCGTACCTAAAGGGGTCAATTTGTAGACCTGAGAGGATAGTGTCACGTGCTGCCTCATATCTTTCTAGCTGCAAGATGAAAACAATTGACATATAACGACTGACTGAAATACTCTTGATAGTACCCTGAATTAATAAAAACAGGCGAGAAAGATTTGCTGACAAAAACAAAACGAATATAAAGATCTTCATACCAACATGAGGGCACAAGCCTTTGTTACAAATGACTTCACTGAACTGCTCTGAAGATTCATCACCTTATCAGCATCCTTAAGAGCAAGCTGTAGAAAATATCAAGTTTTCCAAGGTGAGTCAGAGTCGATGAGGTTTGCAACTGCTAGTAACAGGTTAAGCAAGTAGAATGATACATACTTCCCCAAGCATGGACATATCAAAACCGTTAAGAGGTCTATATTCAGAAATGGATGCAGATCTCTGCTTCAGATATTGGCCAAATCTAAGAAACAAAAGGTTGAGAGATGGATAGAGAATGTCAGAAAATCCAATAAAATATGTCAGTAAACAACATGCCAACTCTCCATTTGAAGTGAGAAAAAAAAAAAGATAAAAGAAAGGTTACCTAATATAAGCAGCACTTCTATTGCTTAGAACAACAGGGTCAAGAGGCTTAACAGAATTGGCTTTTGAATAATTGCTAATCGCCTGGAAGCAAACAAAAAAAAAGATATGTAACTGACAAGAACATGTTTGAGAGTTTCATTTGGGTTTCAGCATCAAAGCTTTAAACTTGCACGAATCTGCGTGATCATCTATTGGTCATAACAGCCTGATAAAGAGTAGTCACAAGTTCAAAGCCATACAAATGTACCAGATGGTTAGTGCTACTATCATCATCATCATGGTTCAGCAAGAAACTATTACCAAATCAAAAATACACCAAGAAGCAACAAGATATCCAATAGAAAGTAACCACCAAAAAAGAATTCAGAGAATTCCAGCAAGATCAAGAAAAGCAGAAAGAGAGATTCATTGATTCACTAACCTCTTCAAAGCGAGACTCTTTGTAAGCTTGGTTTCCCTTCTCAACAAGTTGGAAAACTTGATTGTGTATGTCCATAGGCAATGAATTGTCAGCTTCACTGATCTGTAAACTCAATAACACAAATTTCAGAAGTTAGTGAACGATAAGTTAGATTGTTCTCAAATAGCTAATCGCAATTGTGAAGGAAGCAATGATGATCACTAACTCACCAAGCCATAGTTTTCGACATCATCCAAACCGAACAGAGTGAATACCGGAAGAGATTCTTCGTTCGACATCGAGCAGCAATAATAACAGATCAAAATCAACGCAGGAAGATTGATTAATAATAACAAAGAGAGACTGAAGAGGAGAAGAGAGTAGCGTCGTGGAGACTTGTGCTTCGTTCGTTTGCAGCCACGGGATTTTGAATACTCTTACGTGTTTATACTCTCTCCAATCCCAAGTCTTCGCCTTTTTTTTCCTTCAATCTTTATTATCTCTCTTCTCTTTAGTAAAGGTGAATCCTTTTTCTACTGTTTAAGAAAAAGTGAATCCTTTTTTTTTTGAACAAAAAAGTGAATCCTTTTGTTTGTCTTTTTCATCTTCTTCCTGCTTATTGGGTCGCTGGATTCGCCCATTTATGTAATTATGTAAATTAACCAGAAAATTATGTAATTTTCACTGTCTTCAATGCAGTGACTCTCTTTACTCATAGCTCTTGTCAGCTTCAAAACCTTCTCAATCTTTTCAAATCCTGTGGTTAGCTCTGGTGCAACTCCATGGCAGTTGTTGTTGCTCTTGCTGTGATCTTAGTGGCTATAACTGGTCATTTCAAGTAAGACAATCAACTCTTTTAAAATCCTTTTGTCCCAAAAAAACTCTTTTTAAAATAACAGTCCCTCTGTCTATGGATCCTTAACGAGTATATACAAAACATAGGATTTTTTTAGGTTCAATCTTGTAATAAAAAAAACGGCAAATTGTCATTCTTTAGCGGTTAATACTTTGAAACATTCAGGTTTTAACCACCATTGAAGAGAAACAAAAGAGAACACAAATAGTAAATACGATGAATGTTTTCATGATTATTGACTTTTATTATTTATATACAGCTTTAGAGTACAGAAAAAACGAGTTTATGAATCAGTAACTACTCGTCTGCTTGAAGTAATTTGCAGCAGCCGATCAATCTCACCATGCACGACCTCACTAACCAGATCCTTGAAGAGAAGCCTCTCTAAGTGTAGCACTATACCGGGGACTACATCATCAAACTCCGTCCATTTCTCAGACCGCATCTCCATATCTTCATCCAATATACATTTCAAGAAGTCCTCTTCTTGTTCCCCCAACAAGAACAAGTTATCTGATCTTCTCTTGGCTTCCTTCTGCACTGTTTCTATCTCTGAACACAGCTCTTTCAAGAGCTGTTGCGCACTCAACACCCTCCTCTTCTTACCTCGCTTCATCCATGGATCCGCACTGCTGCTGCCCTCAACAATAGCTAACTTCTTCACCAAAATTTCATTAACAGCGTCAAACACAAGTTTACGGTTGAGCTTCTCGTTGCTGCTGCTGTTTCTTCCTTTAGTTTGCTCAAGAACGAGGAACAGCTCAGGGTTCATAGGGTGTCCTGAAGGGTGCAGTTGAAACGTGGTTGACTCTGAGGCTAAGTCTCTGAGGAGAAGACCAGAGGCTAACAGAATCTCTGAAATGTATCTGTGATCAGTGTCAGGACCACTGTTCTCGCATAGTGATGCAATGTAATCTTGGCTGGCTTCGTCATGGCTAGAGTTTAATCTTTTCAGCTTTTGAACCAAATGCTCAACGTTCTGAAGCTTCTTTCGGTTTATCTCTGGTGAAAAGGTGGTTGTTGTCTTTGAGAAGCTGTAAGCTGGATTCCACTGATCTTCTTCACCGGGGTCAATAAGGCTATTACCACCTGTTAGATGATCAGTCTTAGTGCCTTCACTAGCTTGTGTTTTTATAGGAGATGGTTTGATGTCTCTGTAGATTGATGCGTTGAGAACAGAAACTGGACTTGGATGTTCTGATGATCCCTCTTCACTAAACTTTGGACTAGCTTTCTGAAAAAAAAAAAAAAAAAAATTGGAAAATTAAGCAGCTAAAACTTTGTTATGACCAAACAATCATGAGAGACAACAACTCACATTCTGCATTAAGTTAGAGACTACAGTTTTTGCTGTCTCTATCACAGATGGACTCTTTCCACCACCTACTTCAGTAGCTTGTTGGATAGTCACTGTGGCATCTATTTCAGGCCTAGATTTATTCCTCATCTGGCGAAGTTGACCATCATTTTTCTGCAAGCTCCTCTGATCCCCTGGTCTACGCCTACCACCAGGAGAAGTAGCAGTTTCTTCGAGTTGTCGGTTTGTTTGTCTTCTTGATTTGCCTGAATCAGATGGAGTTGTTGGTGGTCTCGAATTCTTCTTCATATGAGGCAATCTTGGACTTGCAGCTCTTGCATTCTTTGTAGTGGCTTCTGTTGAAACCTGAGAAGACCTCATGTTTCTGCTGCTAGATTTGTTATCAACAGTACTGACACCTGATTCAGCTCTTTGGTTTCCAGAACTAGGATCTTTTGCTGCCTTCTTACTAGTTGAGATTCTTTTAACCTTCACAGACTCTTCTTCTCTACAGGTTGTATTCAGACCAGATAGACTGTGAATGGGAATCAGAGAAGATGAAGGAATACCAGAGTTCTCAACAAGTCTGGCAGGTTTCATAATCACAATTGGTCCTCCTCTCATAGTGGATGGCATCACCTGGTTTTGTAAGCCTCTTGAGTTTGAGCATTCTGGTTGCTTGACACTTTTTGTTTGCATTGCCTCTAATATCTCATTAAGAGCTCTGAGATCCTTCCCTGAACTCTTAAACTCGAGTTCTTTCAACCTCCCCTCCATTGATGGCAACACAGCTTTCACAGGCCTGCTTGCTTTCTTTTGTTGCTTCCATGGAGCTGGTTCAATGGGAAACTTCAAACTTGATAACGGTTTCATACCAAACTCAGAGCTACTCCATCTTGGTGAAGAAGAAGAAGAAGCCAGGTCCTTCCCTAAACTTCTTGGTGAGCTAGAAGGAAACCGCATAGTACGGTTCAGGCTATTCTCCCTCAATGACCTTGAGAACGGATCACTGTTATGGCCAAACATGTTGAGTTTGTCTCTGCCCAGTGGGGATCCAGGTAATGTTTCTAACCCCATCAGCTTTGCTACAACACTAGGAGGCCGTTTGTTCATGCTAGAGCTTCTACTAAAACTCTGAACAAGGTTACTATTACCTGATTTGAGACCAACGTGGTCTCTACTGTCCAAAGAAAGCTTAGGAGACTCTTTCACCTTCTTCTTGGATTTAGACGTCTTGTGAGAATCAACATAGTAACGAGACGCATCTTTCAAGTCAACCTCATTGTAATAGTACTGAGAGTTTTTAAGTTTGGCTAGAGCTTTGCATGATTCATTGAAATCAACAGGAGTGGATTGCTTCAAACCATAAGGTCTTGGAGAATCATCTCTTCTCTTGTGTCTGGATACTTCAGAAAGTCCTCTAGCTTCTCTGTACATAGAGTCTCTAACAACATCTCTAAGATCAAGTCCCAACCCACTTCCTTGGCTCATCACTGGAGATTCTTGAAAAATGACTCGGTCATACGCTGAAATATCAGGTTGAGTTTCTCTGTTGAGCTCTGAAGACAATGGGGAAGATGATGAACACGATGATGAGAAAGAAACTCTAGAAGACTCTGTTGATACCCTTGTTAGTTTCTCGTTTGTTGCATTCTCGCTTCTGATAATGTTGGAGTCTTGAATCTGTAGTGCAGAGTCTCTTTCAAAGTTGATATTATTGACTTGTGCATTACCTGCAACAACAACAATAACAGCACATGAGATTAAAAGAGCTTTAGGATCATATCAAAAGATTGATGAGTCTAAAGGTTGAGAGAAGTCAAAATCTACCAAGCAAAAGCCACACAAAAAAACCAATCTAATCTAACTTAACAAAACAAACATGCATTTCACAAACTAGAGCAACTTAGTCTAAGGATATATAAGATAAGACCCCACAAACGTTTTAGTCCTCACAGAAGAATCAGACAAGACCTTTTAGTTCATGAAGAAACAGAGTTTAAGAAGAGAAGAAGGACCATGGAAAAAGACATCATAGTTAAGAACGTTTTAACAAATGGCCATGTACAAGTCAACCACTAAGAGGCACGATCTATATCACAAGTATGCATTTACTTTTATTTAATTAGTGTTAATATGATTACCTAAAGTAAGACTTTTTCGCTGCCTTGTGAGAAGATGGTGACGATCAAAGATACGGAAAACCCCATTCATACATCCAATTTTCTTCTGCAGATCCGAGTTTTCATCTGCCAATGTATGCAAAAGCTTTGCAGCCATGAATAGTAACTCTTACAGTAACACTCTTTATACTCCCTCTTGTTGTTTCCAGTTAAACACTAGTTTTGGAATAACTTCAAGCTTTCGTTATATCTCCATCAACAAGCAACCACATAACGAGAATGACCCACTTTCCATATTTTCATATAATTCCAAAAAAGGCTGAGCTTTTTATCAATTTAGATTCCAATAAAATTGGCTTAGATAAAGCTCAATGTAAGAACGCCATTGCCTTCCAGCTAATTACAGATTATATATTCCCTATCAACGACAAAAAAAAAGAAAGAAAGAAAATTAGCATTTTTTTTTGTCTCTACTTGTAACAGAAGTTCAAAACTTTACCACTTTGACAGCAGATAGATAGATTCCCAAATCTCACCGGAGAGGACAACGACGAGAAAAGAGACGAACCCTTATCTTGAGTTATCTCGTCGGCACTAACCAAAAAAAAAAAAGAAGCTCTGTTATTACAGAACAAAAGAGTCTTTCTGTAAGAATCAATGTACAACTGATAAATCTTTAAAAAACCACGAAAAAGAGACAGAAACTTTCAGATAGTGAGAAACAGATAAAGCCAAGCAGAGGGAACAAAATAAATACTCTGCAAAATGTTCCTCTGTTTTTTTTTTTACTCTCTGGTTCTGCTCAGAGAACAAAACAGCACACTGTCTATGTCTCTGTGTGTTTCTGATGAGTAATAGAAATAGAAATGAGGTGAGAAGATTACACAGAGAGAGAGAGGAAGTGTGGGGGTGTTGGCAAGTGGATGTGGTTTGTTAAAACTCTGTTTTTCAGATGTCTCCCTCTGCATGTGACTCCTGTCTTCTCGTTAACAACTTAAAAAAATATCCACAATATTATCTTCTTTTTCTTCCTTACCTTTTTTATTTCCTCTCCATAGATTAGATGGATATTATTAAAATTGTTTTCTTATTCTCAATAATCAAATCGGTTTAGGTAGACATTAATTTAAGTTAGAACAGATTCACATGCTAGTAAACAATGAAACTAGTTGTAAACGGAAAAGCATGCTTTAGTGGTTAGGGTCACCAGCTAGGAAGAGTTTTGACTTTTCTTCTACGTTATCTTCCCAAAATGCATAACCATTGATTCATTCCAAGGCTACAATTTACAAGTTAGAGCCTTAGCAAACAATATAAAGTGATACATTTTTCTGAAGAGAGTTTAGTGACTCTTGTAGACTAGTCTTCGTTTAAACACAAGAGATCAATATGAATATTTAAGAGTTAGTTAATTTGGTGTACCAATTGGATTAGTGGATGTGGGTCGAACTTTGAGCTGATGAGTGGGTTCAAGAAGTTTAAGTACTTGTAATAACGGTGAAAAATTTTCACCTTCAAGATACGTCCATCACATTTCTTAAAATATATGTTACATAAAAATATTTGCTGTACAATAAAAATATTTCTATATTTTAGAAAAGGCCAAGTACAATTTTATTAGATCATACCAATTTTTAGTCATTTTTTTAGCAAACAAATTTATAGTCATATCTTTGAATTCTCAGCAAAAAGTCATGTCCTGCCCAGCTCTATCTAGGCTTCTAAACGGGTCATTTAGGATAGAAACAAATGGGCCAGTGGTCCCATTTTTGGCCTTTTCTCCTAAACTTGCAACTCGAACTTTGGGCTTTTCTTTCCACATAAGGAAACAAACGACTTATGTGGATTGTGGAGAAAGAACTGATGTTCTGAGAAGTGGCAACATGATTCCATTTCCATCATCCATGAACCATGATCCGTTGCACTATTGCAGATGTCGCTTAGACAACCCTTTGTTCCGAAAAAACAAACAAGAAGTCGCTCGATCAGAGTTCAATTTCTTTTTTTTTTGACATATATAAGAGTTCAATTATTTTTAGGATATACAATCTTTTATTTTTATTATTGTAACTATAAAGGACCGATAACTCTAATACTCTTAATATCTAGTATGTTTTTAATCATTATGTTTTGTCTATCTTATCTTGTTTTGGCATTTTTCTAAACAACATTTATAACTTCAATAAATATGTCAATTGTTTACAATGGTTTTTTTGTTTAAAAAAAATGTTTTCATTTTTTTGCCGGAAATCCAAACATTGTAAATAGTTTTTTCCACCGTAAATTAAATCTACATTGAATTTGGTAGAAAACCAAAACAAAGTGTGAAATTAAGAAAATACTCTAGATAGGACTGATTGATAGCTATGAATAACAGTACCATTAGATGGAATTTATGGTATATAATTAATTATAAGGTTTTATGTGTATAGAGTGTAAATACTCTTAAACCTAAGTAACGGAATTTACAGCCGCATCCCCTTTACCACTAGAGCAACTCACCAACTCACGTTAATCATTTACATCAGTTATAGTAGTAAACTAACCGCAACTCAAAAAAAAAATCAAAAGCAATTATTGTAATTGATGTTAAATCAGTAGTAAATCACATATATGCATGTCATTTACCAATAGGTAAATTAGATTAGTGAGTTGTCAAAACAAATTAAAGTGCGTTTCTTTTCTCTTTTCTACTTTATGCCAATTGATGCTATACATTTTTATTTTATTCTTTTTGAGGTGGATCGAACGGCCACAGCTTTAGATTTTTAACCATCACCAGAAATGTTGTTCTTTAAACGGAGATTTAATTTATGTGCAGCAATTGTGATAAAAGATGGAGACAATATATAGAAACACTCTGTTCAGACGAATTAAGCCACTAACTCGATGGTGACTGCACCTTTTCATCAAATCGCATATTATTCTATCTACCTAACAAATCAATTAGATAACATTGCGATCAATTCAGCGACGACTTTTCAATGCAATCTGAAATAGAATAATCGTATTTTTACTTTAGATGGTGCTCTCTCTTTATCGTCTAATAAGCATAGAGATTACTGGAATTAAAATTAAAGAAGAGTTATTATATTACATATGTGATTTAAGTATCAGCCACTCAGGTTTGTAGAAAAATCATTAGGACGTTAGATGTCCGACACCATGCTGCTACTACATGAATATCCTATTAACATTTCTTTCTGAAAAAAGGCATGTATCCTATTAACATTTGCTATCTTTTATAATGTTTATATATTACGTACGTGGATTGTCTTATGATGGTATTTTTAACCTCATGCAGGGAAGATGAATCATATTAAAGGTGTGAAGTGAAATCTACCACCAACGACAGTCTTATCACTGTGTGCTTACTAAAGCGTCTGCATGGAGGTTAATTCATCCAATAAATTTTTGTTACATATTAAAAAACTTTATTAGCTTTTTAAAAATTTAAACATGAAAATGCCATTAAGAAATTTTTTTTTTAGAAAATAAATTTGAAATTTGGTACTTCATTTAGCAGATAAAACAGCAATAGCATTGCGAGATTTCTTAATCAACTTTGACATATATTTTAATTCATTAAAATAGTATTTCTTAGACATGAAGATCAAAGGCAACAATCAACTGTTTCAAATTCGTGGTGTACCGTCATAAAAGCAGCAATTATTATTTATTTATTTATTTTAAAGCAGCAATTATTAAACTGGATGTTTGATCCTATTTAACTAGTATAAATCATAAGTTGATAAAAAAAGATAGAAGTGATAAAATAACTGCTTTCAAAAAGGTGATAAATAAATACAAACAAACCTTTTAATTCCTAGTGAATATTGATGTACACATATGTAATACAATAAAATTATACTACCGCTCATGAGGGAAAACAAACCCTAACTCCTCTTGAAAATTGACTTAAAAAATTTAATAGGTGGAGTTTTCTTTAAAAAATTAAGAAAAAAATCCTTGGTCACTAGTCTCAGTCAAACAAAAATCGGACAAAAAAAAACTTGGTCAATAGTCCGAGTTGGACAGAGAGCATATTTTGGGAACATATTTCAGTATCTATATCCTTTATTTATTTAATTATTGTTTCACCTCCATATGGTTTGAACTTTGAACAAAGGAATAATTAATATCAATGAAAGGAGCCAACCTTGAAAGTGTTTTTTTTTTTTTTGGAAAGGGCTTGAGCCAATCTTGAAGGTTTCTATGATTTAGTAAATAATATAAGTTACATGATTAGTTGACTAGTTGTTTATAACTTGTTTGGTGACATTATCACTGTTACATATGAGTCCTTTGAAATGTCAAGAGTCCGACGCATGCAAGAATGTGGCACTAACATAGAGTGCCAATATCCACAACCGGCGATGACCTTTGACGACCCACCACGTATATTGCATTATTTATAGATTTTTTAATTAAAATTCAGTATCAGATAAAAAGTTGAGGATTAAAGAAGAAAATTAATATTAGATGGCTCGGTTGATACGTAGTGTACATGATCTTAGAGTACAACTTGTGAATAGATTTACTATATCGTTCATTCGCGGAAGCAAACCTCGTTACAATTAGATTTTGGACGTGAAAAAGTAGTATTATTTATATATATATTTATTGTTTGTGTAGCTTTCCAGTAATTTTTGTCAAAAGCTTTAATTTTGGTTATTTTAAGGGGAATAAGTCGACGTCAAGAAACAAACGAATCGAATATGCGAATAGTATATAAAATTAATAATATTTTCATTGAAATCATAAAATAATATTTAATTTAAAACGAAAATATTAATTGACAACGATTACTAAATTTAAATGGGGTAAATATTGTTCATAAAATTCTATGGTGGTGTTTTAATTTATAATATCACTTTGTATGTACATAAAACAGTATCTTGGAGAAGTAAAATCAGCCAACTTGTTCTTTGGATAATAATATTGTTGAAACAAATCTCAGCTTTTACTTTTGTTTCTGCATGGTGCTTTCAAAAAGAATGTAATGATAATGCACTATTTCTTCTTAGAGCATCTCCAAAAGGACTCTCTATTATAGAGTTTGCAAAACTCTATATTTGAAGTTTGAAAGTGTTATATTCCAAAAGCAAAACTTCAAACCTAATTTTAAAACTATTTGTATTTTATATAATAGTCTTTATATTTGTCATAACTAATTCAAATTCATAAAACTTCTATAAATAACTATCATGTATAAAAATATTATTTGATAAAATGTTACACTAAAATATAATACTATAATTGAGTACTAGATCAGCCGTTTGATGTAAAAAAAATATAAAACTATAAATAGAAATATATAATTAAATATTAAAGTACAAACAAAATACCATATTATATCATGTAATATTGTTGTTGTCTAGTTCTAGTTTTAAAATATTTTAAAGATTATCTTGATGTTTTTTTTAAAATGTATAAAATTTAAATTATTTATGAAATAAGAATTTTTAAAGATTAAAATGATAAATATAAAATATTTAAGATTATTATAAATATGATGTGTAATTATAAGGACCAAAATGGAAATAAAATATAAAATTTCAATTTGAAGTTTTGAATAGTACCACTCTATATTTGAAGTTTTACTACTCAAAACTTCAAATTTGAAATTTTAGAGTTTCTTTTTGAAGAGGCAAAAACTTCATATTTAAAGTTATATAATGTCTTTTGGAGATGCTGTTAACTTTAGTCTTGGAACGTTCAAAGAATGGTCGCTACTCGCTAGGCTAAATTGCTCCAAACACCAACAAGAAGTGAAGTAAGTACTAGTTGTTTATAATAACGTAGATCTCATGTTCGGATAGTTACAAATCGATATTTTTATTGGTACTTGTTTTGCATGTTCGCAATTTACGAATCCTAATATAATACACCAGGTAAAACTATTATAATATTTTACATCCCCACTAGTTTTTGTTTGTTTGTTTAAATACATCCCCATTAATTTATGATATCCACTTCATACGAAACACACTCGAGGGCAAATGTACAAAATAGTAAAACAAAAGAAACACTAAAAAGACACGCATATATGACAATACAAAATTATTTATCACCATCATCATTATTATAATTTATCATCATCATCTATGACAGGATCATATTGAAATGATCATGTGGGGTTGGTTTATCCTAAGATTCACTCATGCAAAATAGCTATCAATCTCTTCAAAACTGTCTTGATGTTCATAGATGGGCATCATTTCTACGTTGTCCACCCCATGACTCTCATCCTCGTCAAGAAACCTCGTAAGTTCTTTCATGAACTCAGTGTTCTCAACACAAGACTCTTCCAACATCATGAAATCTTCATCATTTAGAAATGTTGAGAATCCATCAATGTCATCATTATAATCACAGTATACTAATTGATCGTTGATGGATGACTCTGAGAATGTGGACGGAGACGACGTAGCGTTACCGTTACCGTTAACGGTCATGTGGCAATGAAGATTCGAGGTTGGTGTAAAGGAAGAGCTGGTTGACTTATCAGATGCGGAGTCAACCGTGACACTTGTTGTACTAGTGATAGTAGTAAGCGGGCCACCACTTCCGATTATCTCAGACAGAACACTCTGGTTGATTCTCTTTCCGAACCTATTAGCTACTCTGTTCAAGAACCTAGCCGATGATAATCCCGGCTTCTTCACCTTCTCATTATGATCAAGATCATCATTACCCGTTATAATTTCCTGATTAACGTTTTGTTTCTCCGGAATATCCTGTACGTTTTCTGATATGCTCTTGTGAGTAACAGGATCAACACCTTTCTTGATCAAACGTTTTTTAATATGAGTGTTCCAGTGGTTCTTGATTTCGTTATCGGTTCTTCCTGGTAATCCACGAGCTATTGCAGCCCATCTGATTAAACACCACAAAATTACACAACTATATTAGTCATGACCGCATAATATGTAACACATGAATTTTCAAACCCAACATTTTTGATCTAGTTCGGTTTTTGGTTTGCTTAGAGTGAAATATTATACAAAAATTATAAGGAAAATGGACAAGAGATTTACTTGTTTCCGTGAAGGGCGTGAAGGGAGATGATAGAACGTTCTTCGTCTTCAGTGAACTCACCTCTTTTGATGTCAGGTCTTAGATAATTGGCCCATCTCAGTCTGCAGCTTTTGCCACATCTCTTGAGTCCTACGTCATTTTTAAAAGAATTATTTATATTAAAAAAAATTGTTATCAATAATGTCAAAAAGTCAAACATTGAATATTCAAAAATGGCGGGATTATAAAAATAAATACCAGCTTTTTCGGGGAGAGTTCGCCAGCCACCTTCACCGTGACGGTAAAGGTAGGAGATAAGCTTCTGATCTTCCTCGGGAGTCCAAGCTCCTTTCTTTAACCCTAACTCAGCTTTGCAACATGGTGTCCGCACCATTCTTGATTCTTGATTTATTTGACTTTTCTTGATTCTTGATTCTTCAAAGAATCTCAGCTTTCTTATTGATGTAATGATTATCTTCGATTGAAAACAAAGGGGTTGTTCTCCAGTGAAGCAGAGAACAAAGAGAGATTATTCAAAACCTGAGCGTTGAAACAAACTGTGAAATGGGAACATATGATCATAGAGATTGAGCACATGATCTTTTGATTAAAGAATTTAGACATCGGTAGATTTTTCTTATAGACATCTTGCTCTTTTGGGATACTTGAGATCTTTTTATCACAGAACAAGAAAACACAAAGAGATAGATTGAGAAAAAGAGATCCCTACTAATTTGTTCGGTTTCTTACCACAAGAGAAGTATAGAGAAAGAAAATCTTTAGTGTGTTTTCTTTTGTTTCACTTGCAAAGTGAGAAACTTTGAGGATGAGGCACCATCTTTATTTATGCATGCTTGTAGCTGTACGTGTGGCTGCCTACAACGACGTCATTTTTGTATGTGATTGACACATGGCTAATTTTAATTCCTTATGCAAGTTTTGATTTAAATGCTAACTTTTAGTGGAATTATTTCGAGATAGACGTCTGATCTTTCCACAAGATAATTATAATTCATTATCCTAACTCATTTTTATTTAGTATTTTTTTCTGACAGAATTTTTATTTAGTAGTTTGGTGCACAACAGACTGACAGCTATTACATAATATTTATTCCATACAGAAGACCGCATATAAGACAGATTTAAGCAATTTTTTTTTTTTTAAAAAAACCTACTATTTCATATGCTAACTTTATCCGGACCAATTATATTTAAAAATATATATATCTGAAAGAATGTTAATGAATGCAACTAGTAGAACGAGACTACCTTATGTACGTAAATAATTCAAATGTGTGAAACCTCCAAAGAAATGATAGTAAATAAATAATGAATAACAAAAAAAAAAAAATGCAACATCAACATTAGCATTAGTTATCGGGTGAATATTTAGTTACCCAAATTCTTTAATGAATCTAGCTTCGTAAATTAAATTACTCGGAATATAAGTTGCTATAATAGTTATTATTAGAGCTGAAACTTAATATCCGTTATCCGCTATACGATCCGAAAAAGCGGATATCTGGAGGGTCTAAATCCATATCCGGATAGTAATTTTACGGATCCTGTGAATTCGGATCCGGATAATGAAATTTTTAGTCCGGATATCCGGATCCGGATTCAGGTCCACTAAATATTTTTAAAATATTTAAAATATAATTGTATTTATAGCTATATTATATATCTTTTATTAAAATAACTAAAAATTATTTTTCCTATTAAATTATATTACTTTATTTTAAATTTTTGCAAAATAATAATTTTAATAGAATAAATAATACTTAATTTTTAATTTAATTTATTTTATTATTATTTTTTAAACAGATCCGGATATCCGGAAGATCCGAATCCAGATCCGGATATCAATTTTACGGATCCGCTTAATCCGGATATTTCAAAATACCCAGGATATCCGATCGGTTCCATCACTAATTATTATATTATTTTTAATAGATATTATATTGTCCATGCCAAGATTAAAACTTATTCAAAAAATACAGCGCCGAAACAATTGGAAGACCAATTAATTATAGTCCCGTTGAGTTTTCTTTTAGATATTTGTGTTGACTAAGTCTGTCCAAGGAAATAAACAGTATAACTCTCTATCCTCTTTGAAATCTAAATAATTAGTAGAAAACAGTTTCAACTTTATATGAAAAATTAATGAAGTGGGAAGGAAAGAGCTCTATTTTCAGTATATTATTATTATTATCTTATATAATTTAAATTTTATTTTTATTTGGATAATTCTGGTAGTGATAACTACAATGGAACAAACAATTCTTATTTTTATAGTAAACTTCACAACATGTAATATATGTCTTTGTCAGAATGTATTCAACTGTGTAAAAGATGGAGTGCGAGACTTTTCTAAATACGACTGAAAGTCTGAAATCTTTACAATTTTTATTTTGTTAAATTCAAACATTCTTAAAATCATTAGACGGCAATTTTTTTATAGAAAAAACAATAGGCAAACGAAACACAGAGGAAGGTAGTAAGTATAAGAAAGTAGTCTGTATTTGAATTAAATAATTTAAGCAACAACTTGGTCACTCAAAACACTGAACTTGGACTAATCGAAATCGATCATACCAAGACAAACTGTAAGGAACTAATAAAGAGAATTAGTTTTCACTCTTTTCTCTAGACAAAACTAATTAACTAGTCAACATTGTGTTTTGTTTGTCTTCCAGCGAATTCAAATGACCGGAGTTTTATGAATTCAAATGACCATTGTATATGATTTGATCCGGTTTATTGCAAGTTAGTCAAACCCAAATGAAACTTACAATCATGGTACTGAAAATCTAAAATCTAACCAAACCAAAGCCGGAATTGATACATAAAAATGTTCTCTACAAATCCTCCTAGCACAAAGCAAAACTACATACAAATAATCATCATATGCTAAAGGAAGACAACTAAATAACAATTCATCTCTATATTACAAACACTAAGAATAGTCTCACTTATGTTGATTCTTGTCAGAGTTACCAGCAGCAACGGTGGCAGCTAACTCCATTAACCGCTCGTAGTCGATCTCAGTTGACTTAAACTTCAGTTTCATACCAGCTTCAATCCATGATCTGATACAAAGGACAGACTGTGTGCTATCATGTGGCATGCAATACCTTTGCTTATCAATCTCCTCACCTTTAACGCAAAATATCTCTTCCGGTGCAGCTGAAGTTGCCTGAACAGCAAGAAAGTCTCTAGCCATGTTGGAAAGCCGCGGGTATCTTCCACTGTTTCCCTTCCACCAATCCAACACATCGGTCTGCATAGGGACTATAGACTCTGATAAGTACTGAGTCAGTTCATCAACAACATTGTTGTTACTCATGCTTCCTCTTCTCTTCCTTCTAGCAATCTCCTCTGCAAATGAGATGTTTCCTCCTCCTTCGTCTATCTCCTGAGGACGGTACCCGCTGGCCAGGGAAGATGTGAAATGAGGAGAAGTATAGTTTCGAATGAAATGGACTCTTGCTTCATCTATATAGCTCTCGAGGTTTAGCGTCTCTGGTATGTATTCTGTTTTAATGCGCGGGTCAAGAACGGCTGTAATGTACGTGAACACGTTGCACACTTGTGTGTTGTAACTTCTAGCTTTCTGTGACATGTTTTCAGCGCAAGTTCTTAACCAGTCTGGGTTGTGGCAAGACTTTTGACAAGTGGTGATCATCTCGGATATGTTATCCATGAAGAGAAGAGCTAGACCGACCGTGAGATCCTTGTTTGTGCACATATCATCAGTCGTTTTGTGAAAGGAATCCAAATCCAAGTAACTGTGGACAATGGTCACTGCGTTCTTCTCTGCAGAGCTCAACATCATTCTGTTCTCTAAACATTCCTCGTTTTTCCTTATCACCGAGTCCAAGGACTTGCCAGCCTTGCACAAGATGTTGACCATCTGGTAATTGCCACTCCAACGAGATGAAGCATCTATAGGAAGTTTCCAGTTCCCTTCTTGATAAGCTGTAGTCAACTGAATGAAATCATCAGATAGCTCCAACGACGCGTTTAACTCTTGTGTGAACTCTCTGATCTTTGAGATGATAGGCTTTATAGATGCTAACCCTTCATCTATAATATCATTCAGAGTCTGAGCCGCACAGGGAATGTAGCAGAAAGGCAATACCTTCTGACCATCTAAGTACTCCTTCAGACTATGACAAGCGTGAATAGCGTTCTCGCTGTTGTCATGCGTACAACATAGAACTCTCTCCTCAATAGCATACATCTTAAGGACTTTCAAAAGAGATGTATAGATCTCAGAACCCCCAGAGGGATAAGGAATCCTGCATATGTCTAGCATCATCCTATGAGAGGACCAGTTCTCATCAATCCAATGCCCCGTCACGCTCATATAAAAAACATTCTCATACGAACTCCAGAAACTTAAGGTAACTGAAACTCTCGAATGAACATGCTCCATGGTTGTCTTCACATCTCCCTGCATACTTCTGAAAACCTCCTTGAGCACAGCTTTATACTTCTCAGAAGGCCATAACTTGACGGATGGGTTAAGAAACTTGAAGGAGTTTCCCAACCACGTTTCGTCCACAGTAGCGGGAGGAAGCGATGAGAGAGAGAGCCACTTGAGAACTAACCAGTTGAGATGATCATAATCAAGGTGCGGTGGTGCTTTTGACAGGGATTGTAACGGTTTCACAAGAACTGGTGGTGTATTATGAGGTACTGAAGTGGTTGCAACATCTACGGCCTTGTCGTATCCTGGATGTCGATTATTCAAATGCCTTCCGAGATTACCTTAAAAAGAGGGAAACATATATCAAAGTTACATTGAAGGGAAGATTTTAAACAGTGATTCAATATACCTGTGGCGGTTGAAATGGAGTAGGTTTGGCCACAGAGTTTGCATTTGCGAGTTTTGGTGTCAGGTGAAGTGTCGAAGTATTTAAGAAAGACGGAAGTCATAGTCTTTTTGCGTTTAGGGGGAGCAGTGTTGGGAGTATCAGAAGAAGAGCCTAAGGCAATGTCAATGGGATCAGAGTGGGGAACTAGTGACATATCCATTATGGCTTTTGGTTCCATTTCTACATACACAAGAATTGATCATAAAACATCATAAGCTTGTCGTATATAGAGAGAGTATTTGGATATTTTTTTTACCTTTGTAGGTTTTGAAAGCGTTGTTTACATTCCACTCCATCTGATTCCAAAGCTTCTTTGTCCCTTTTGAAGTTGAAAATCCATTAAAATAATTTCAGAGCTACGTGTGAGCACAGAGGTTGAGAGAACAGAGAGATACTTACCTGAGAAAATGATGGTGAAGACGAAGAAAGAACACGGGGACAAGTCTGCTTGTAGAACGATCAGTTGAGAAAAAGGACGTTACAAGAGAGAGGTTAATTTGTTTTTTGTTTTTTGGAGGGAAAACAGTAACAGGAAGAGGAGGATCGGCGCTGGATCTGTGCGCCAGAGATCTGAGCCGATCTAAGGGATAAAGGGAAGCTGTGTGAGTTTTAGGGAAGCCTTCTGGTTGGAAGTCGACTTGTCTGAGAGATGGATACTTTACGGCGGCGGATCTCGTCGGCGAATTTGACGGAGAGAAGAGGCTGGCTCCTACGTTAGGCTCAGCTAAAAATGACTCTCGTGATTGGCTCGGTCTGGTTTTCTTTCGGCTTTCTTTCTTCTGCTTTCCCTATTTTATTAATTAATACTATAGCCAACATATCCACTTTTGCTTTAAGAGATTTTCTAAGTTATTATATTTTTTTTTAATCTAAAATTAAAATAATATTATTTTAGAGTTGAAATTTATTCTAACTTTATTCATTTTATAAATGAAAAGAATTTTTTTTTTATATATGTATACATATATATTATTCTATATTGGAAATAATAAGTTTTATTCCGTAAAAAAAAATTAAAAAATTAAATAGAATATTCTAAATTTTGTCGAAATAGAAAATGGAGTGGTTATGGAAGGATAAAAACATATTCCTAACAAAAACTAAATAGTCTCTTTTTGGGGGAAAAAAAACTAAATACTCAGGGTGATGATTTGTCGTGAGATAAATGAGTTTTGGTTTCTTATAGAGATGACTTATTTGATATTTCGAGCCTCTTTAAAGCACAAATCGCAAATATAGCTTCATCCTTTGTAGTTTCATATAGCTTCATCCTTTGGTCTCTTATAGTACTCTTGCATTAATAGTTAGATTAGACGGATAACAATGCTTGTTAAGTTGTTAATCATCCGGGTTCCACTCAACTTTTATGGCCCATATAAGGCCCATGATATTTCTCAACACACTAGGTCCATTAGGTTTTACTCTGCTGCTTATCATCCTCATATTTAAAAGCAGCTAACTCCAATCTAGGGTTTACTTCCGCCACTGAGAGTCTGTGCAACAGAGAGTAAGAAGATCATAGCAACAAGATGCCGGCGAAGCAAAGGACCCCGAAAGTGAGCCGAAACCCCGATCTCATCAGGGGTGTTGGCAAATACTCTCGCTCCCAAATGTACCACAAGAGAGGTCTGTGGGCAATCAAGGCCAAAAACGGCGGCGTTTTCCCTCGTCACGACGCTAAATCCAAGGTCGCAGCTCCCGTTGAGAAGCCAGCGAAGTTTTACCCCGCTGAAGACGTTAAGAAGCCTCTCGCCAACAGACGCAAGCCTAAGCCTACCAAGCTCAAGTAAACAATCCATCTTCTTTTATTCATTTTTAATTAATTTAAAGCTAAAATGTATCTGATTGGTTTTGGTTCCGACATATTTACGAGGTTAGAATAGTTTTGTCGGGAATATGAGATCAGTTGTATCTAGTCTTTGTTGAAATGTAGAGATTGCAAAGTTTGATGCTTTATGGTGATCTTGTTTGTGTGTTGCAGAGCAAGCATTACTCCAGGGACTGTGTTGATCATTCTAGCTGGTAGATTCAAGGGAAAGAGAGTTGTCTTCCTCAAGCAACTTGCTTCTGGTTTGCTCTTGGTGACTGGTGAGTTATTGTTATTACCTATACTTCTTAGTGTTGGGTTTTGCTCAGTTTTTTTAATCTTTGCTCTTATGTTCTGTTTCAGGACCATTCAAGATCAATGGTGTTCCATTGAGACGTGTTAACCAGTCCTATGTGATTGGAACCTCCACAAAGGTTGACATTTCTGGAGTCAACGTTGAGAAGTTTGATGACAAGTACTTCGGAAAGGTTGCTGAGAAGAAGAACAAGAAGGGAGAAGGCGAGTTCTTCGAGGCTGAGAAAGAGGTATATAACATCCCACCTTACCAAACATAATCATCTTATGAATCTGATTATCTAACTTCTCTAATCTCTTAAATCAATGATGTGTATCTGCAGGTGAAGAAAGAGATCCCACAGGAGAAGAAAGAGGACCAGAAAACCATTGATGCAGCTCTGATTAAAGCCATTGAAGCAGTGCCAGAGCTCAAGACTTACCTCGGCGCCAGGTTCTCATTGTCTCAAGGAATGAAACCCCATGAGCTTGTTTTCTAGATTCTCATCATATCCTTTTGTTTCCTATCAAGCTTTCAAGAATATTATCTTGTTTTTTTTCCCCTGAGTTTACCGAATCTTAGAAGACACTATTTTCTCTGATTTATATATCAACAATATGTTCGATCAATCATCATTTCTAGCCTTAATAGTAACAAGAAAAATAAAAAAAAATAAAAACACAAACAATAATTATGAATTGATTTTTAAACCAAAGTAATCAACAGCAGATTTAGCCATAATAGAAGCAAATTCACTAAAGCTTATAACACCATCACCGTTTGTATCAGCTTCTTTAATCATCTCCCTTAACTCGCTATACGTCAACGGTTGCCCCATCTTAGCCATGGCTCCAGCCAATTCCGCTGCGCTGATGAATCCATTACCATCTCTATCAAAAGATTTGAAAATGTCGAGTAAATGTTCGGTATTGTTACCGATCTCTTCGTTCAGGTCAGGAAGATTGCCTACAAGCTCATCAAACTCGACAAAACCGTTGCCGTTTGCGTCCATGCTTGCTAACAAAACATGTATTTGGTCCCCTGAAGGTTTGAGACCAAGGGACCTGAGCAGGGCCGCGAGTTCTAAGATGGTTAAGCTTCCATCTGCGTCCATGTCGAACCTGTCGAATATGTCTTTTAATTGTCTTAGCTGATCCTCCATTGTTTTTTTTTTGGGAGCACAAACAAACCTCAAGATCAATCAATCAATAACATCGATGAGAGATTAAGCAATGATTAACGAGAAGAGATTATTTTCTAATGGTTATTTAGAGTTGAAATTCAGATTTTTTCTTGTTTTGTATGTTGTGATCTCTCATGTGTTTTTTGTGGGTTTGTTAATTGTTACGGTTAAAAATAGGAAAAAGCTTCTAGTCATGAAAGGTTGAATATTTAAAAAGTAAAGTAATTATATAACGAATTAAATTGATAAGTGATAAATTCATGATGATTGGTCGGAAACAAACATGACATTGTCCCAACAAACCAACAGATAATTTAACTACAACAAACAAACAAACAAACAAAATAATAAAACTAAGAAAAAGTGAAATGTTTGGTTACTTATAAAATAAAGGATTAAGACACCAAATAAAAGTGAAAATGTGATAAATTCATGATGATTGGTCGGAAACAAACATAACATTGCCCTAATAAACCAAAACATAATTAACTAAAACAAACCAACAACCTAACAAAAACACAAATAAAAATCAGACATAACCACTTTTCGTAGCCGTACGATTATTACGACGAGCACAACAACCACACGAATAGACGGTGATGAGTAGGATAAGGAGACACACGTTAAAAACAAGAAGGTTCCTCCACTTCTCTCTAATATTCGCCAACACTCCAGCTTTGCATGCATTGCAGTTAAAACATAACTCCGTTTGCACGTTACTCCATGCACCGCAGTCACCGTTATTCGTCGCAACAACCGTTCCGTTTTTCGCTGGTGGCATCCAAAACGTCGCGTTTCTGAACTCAAAGTTGCAATCTGACGGTGGCTTACAACAACCAGACTACGTAACACAAGACAACGATTAGATTATGTAATAAATGGAATATATACACAACATGTTATGTTAGTTTTACCTGTATTGGAGACAAGTTTTTGTGATAAAACTCATCAGCGATCAGACTAACAGGACCATCACTCAACTCGTCACAAATGTTAGCTTCAGCCAGACAAGATCTTATACCAACCCATCTCTTCCCACCGACAAAACTGTTAAGCCATGTCGAGAAATCCACGGTTTGGTACTCTCTATAGCCTCGACCAGAGACAACACGACCGGCTCCTTTGTTCGTGACAAAGAAGAGAAATATCGAGAAACCCATCAACGCAACAATGCCTGCAAAGAGTATGATCAAGTACGAGACCATGGCGAGATTCTTCTTGAAGAAAGATCCTATCACTCCTAGTAACGACACCACGAAGAGGACGAGACCGGTCGTGAGAAGTGGTGCACGAATCGCTGTTTGACAATCGGTCACGTCTTGGTGAACGAACATGTAAATCGAATAACCAATGGCTGATGCGCCCACTAACATCACCAACGTGTTGGCTAGACCCACAACGAAGTTGCTTACTCGAAACATTTTGTGATTTTTTTTTCTTCTTTCAGTGTGAAACTCTGATTGATGGAATCGGTTTTTAAATAGAGAGAGGTTTGTAATTAGAAACTTGATGAATTTGGTTTGTAACGTTTTCTTGTGTGTGGCGTCGTGGTTACTGGGGGAAAGAGGGAACGGTTGTTTTTGGGTAGTGGGGGGGGGATATTAGTGGCGATTATTAGGCATTTACCTAGTGTTTAATTACTGGTTTGTACAGCTAAAGTTAAGGAACGTGTGGGGGTTAAGAAGATCCTTTAGTTTAGAGATAGTAGTTAAATGAGATTTTGACTTTGTCTAATGGCGCCACATCATACACTATGTAGAGCTCACTCCACTCTTGAAAGTTTATTTTTTTTTTATTTTTTTTTTTTTTTGAAACACATCACTCATGAAAAATACGAAATTTATAAGGATTTTATCGCATAAATATTGTTTTGATTTCTTTTGAGTGTTTTGTTTATGATGGGTAAAATTATAAAAATAAAAGCTGTAAGCATCATGGTCTTGTGCTTAATGTTTAAAGATTTCTACACGGTTTGATGTTCTGTAGATAAAATATGAAATAAGTGGATATGATATTATTTCTAATTTTGGTTGGTTTTTAAGCAAACATATATTTATCCCTAATTATGTTACTTCAAGTTACATATCCATTTTTTTAAATCGTAACTTCTGACTAGTTATTTTTTTTTGCTAAAGTCAAGAGCATGATTGTTATGAATATAGATTTATAGAACACACAAACTCTTTTGACAAGAATCTCTGAAATAAACAACACACAAACTTTGAAATCCAGTTATTACCAAACTTATGTACCTAGAAAGAAAACTAACTTTGGTCTGACACAAAGATTTTCATTCAGGCAGGGACTTTGACTTTTCGGGAAAGAACCTTTGTTGTGGAGTTCTCTTTGAAATCGAGCATTTTGTTCAGAGCTCCTACATAAGCTTTGACGCTTGACACCACAATGTCCATTCCCGCTCCCGTTCCACTGCCAAAGACATAGTCTCCCGTGTTATAAAAAATTAAAACAAAAATGAACCAAGGGGAAAAAATATTATCTTTACCTAAAGGTCCTTTGAACTTCTTCACCAGTGATTGCATTTGTAGATACGTAGTTGTTGTTTCCACGGACAAGAACTCTTGTGGTTGCGATGGCATCAATGCCTTCTGTTACTGCATTCATTGAGTACTCAAGCAGAGTCGTTGGTTCCTACAAAGAGGGAACAAAGCTTTAAATTAATTTGAGGAACTACAGGTGGAGTTATATGTATGTGGGAGTCGGTTGTATTAAGTACCTTGACGATAAGATCAACTGCCTTATAAGCTGAATCGACAGGGCCAGTTCCCATAGAACAAGCGCAATGCTCTTTGCCATCAGCATCAGCAAGTTTCACAGTTGCTGTTGAAAGCCCCAGAGTCCCACAAGTTATCTGCATTCCACTTTCATGTAAAAATGAGACAATGAACAAGACAACAGGGGTAATATAAAAACCATCTTGATCCAAACTTCACCTGAATGTCTAGGAGTTTCCACACAGCTTCTGGCTGGAAAACTTCGTCAGATACCAAAGCTATTATGTCCGCGTCTGTAACTCTCTGGATCAACAAGGGAACATAAACGATCAGTTCTAAAAAGACAAGCTAACTATTTGAATAAATAATACGATAACAAGAACCAATTACCTTTTTCTGCTCAGCCACGGATTTAAAGCGCCAGAAAATGGTGCTTAGCTGTTCATCATCCAATTGATAACCAAGCTGGAAAAGTAGGAAATATAAGAGGACATTTAGTGTCTCTCACAGATATGGTAACAGCGAGTATGAGTAATTGATGTGTACCTCCGTCAAACGGTCTTTAAACGCATGACGCCCACTGCATAATAATATTATATCCAAGCAAAAGAAGAAACCAGAGGTTAGACTTCAGGGTTTCAAACACACATGTACGTATTGAACTAGTAAATTGTCACAAAAAAAAGGCTAAAATATTCTACGTCAGAGGCGAATAATCCTAGCTGTAGAGTGTATACACCAATTACAGGCTGGTTGCACTGCTTTACACGCAAAACGAGAAAACCATCCATACATACCTAAGCTTCCCCAAGACAATGCCAGCATCATTTGATCGCTCAAGTCCAATTTCTTCGGGGCATATAATTTCATATGTACCCTTGTGTTTCAGCATTCCATCCTTAGAGAAGCATGAAAAATCATTAAGCGTAACCAGAGGGAGATACAGTTATGCAGCAGAATGAAAGAGTGAAGAGGTAAGCATATATATATAGAAGATGATTCTTATCAGCTGACCTGATGAATACCACTTTCATGAGCAAAGGCATTCGCTCCTACAATAGCCTTATGGGGCTGTGTCTGCATTCCAGTGTAGTCTTCCACCTGAGAAACCAACCCACGAGTTATGAGAAGTCAATCTACAAACGCTTTCTCCTTCTTAGGATAAGAAAAATAATATTTGTTTTTACAATATAAAACGAAGTTCAAAAGTGTTACCATCTTGCTTGTCATAACAATGTGCCGAGTATCAATTCCAGTATATAGACCTCCTAAGACATGGTCTCCACGGCATTTTATGGCCATCACAACCTACACGTACACAAAAATATCAGGTATTGATTAAGTATCCCACTGCAGCACAAGCAGAGCATAAGCTGAAACTCCAACACTTTATAACGGCTTCCTGAGACGAACAAAATATCCAGCTTCTAATCCAATATCTCTTAAATTTACTTATCTCCAAATGTTTTTGTCAAAGTAAAATTGCATCTAAGGCTATACTGAGATTCATTTAGCCTATTAAAATCTTACTAAAGAAAATTATTCCAGATTTCTCCCATTGCTACTGATTATGAGACAAAATCCTACTCGGTTCTACTCAATTCTCTTCTCTCACAATATACGTGCCGTGCCTCTACACTAAGAAAATCTTCTCTCTAAGTAAGTTCAATCCCCGGAAAATTGGGTTTAAGTAGGTTCATGTGTGTTTTTCTTTAACAATTTAAAGAAACTCTAACCTCTTCCAGTGAAGCGTTTCCAGCTCTTTCACCAATTCCATTGATAGTCACTTCCAGCTGCCTCGCACCTGCATGTGCTCCCTAAATTCAAAGAAAGGTTACCACACATTAGCACTACATATCTACATAAAACCATAAAGATAAGAAAAAAGGACATACAGATAAAGTGTTGGCGGTAGAGAGTCCAAGATCATTCTGACAATGCGTCGAGATAACAACATTCTCAATCCCAGGAGTATTAGCCTTTAAATCAGCAATCAACTGACCAAACTCACTAGGCAAAGTGATACCAACAGTATCAGGTATATTAAGTGTCGTCGCTCCTGCTTTTATCACTTCTCCAAGAATCTCATACAAAAACTCTCTCTCCGATCTACACAACAATTAATAAAAAAAAAAAAAGTGAAACACTTTCCACCATCTATAACTTCTTAATCAAGATTAAAACTAATTAAAAAAATAATAACACAATTAAATAAACAAAGATACTATAATTAAAACCCCACCTTCCAGCATCTTCAGGACTAAACTCAACGTCCTCACACCCCAAGCTCCTAGCGAACCTAACCATCTCCCTAGCGATCTCAATAACTTCCTTCTTACTCTTCTTCAACTTATACTCCAAATGAATATCACTAGTCGCGATAAACGTATGTATCCTCGGCCTTTTAGCATATCTCACAGCGTCCCAAGCCGTCTGAATATCTTTCTTATTACACCTCGAGAGACCGCATATCACAGGAACATAACCATTCTCGTCGACCGCGTTCCCGACAGTTTCAGCTATTGTCTTAACCGCTTCGAAATCGTCTTTCGAAGCGGCGGGGAACCCTGCCTCGATGATATCGACGCCGAGTTTGGCCAGCTGGCGCGCGATGTCGAGCTTCTCCTTGGACGTGAGGGTGGCGCCGGGAGACTGCTCGCCGTCGCGGAGCGTGGTGTCGAAGATACGGACGTAGTTCGGGTCGGAAATGCGGTTGGGGATGTAGTCCGGGCGGCGGCGGCGGAGGGAGTGGGGAGGGAGGGGGGAGGGTGGATCTGAGATGGAGCAGGAGAGGCGGAGAGGGGTGGAGGAGCGGTGGTGGAGGGAGGAGGAGGGTGGGAAGTGGAAGGAGAGAGGTGTGGTGATTGTTGAGGAGAAGGTGGGGAGAGAAGGGGAAGAGAAGAAGGTAGGGTTTCTGAGAAGGGTAGACGCCATTGTGATGAGAGATGAAGAGAATGGTAAAACCTAGAGAGAGAGAGGAGAGAGATAGATAGAAGAAGAGGTTTTGAACGTGGCGGCGGCAGCTTACTTGGTTCAGCTCTATCTGTTCTTCGTGTGTCACTCTTCTCTTTATTTGACAATTAAAAAAAAAAGATTTTTTTTTGTCCCACTTGAATATTCTCCACTTAAAAAATGATTAAGACAACTGTGTTATACTTTAAACGGCGTCGTTACAGTATAAAATAAAATAAAGTCTACCAGCATCGATAAGGACGATGAGTCGATGAACCGTATTAAAAAGGGAAGTGGAGCCATGAGAATGGGCATTGGAGAAGAACAAAGCGAAGTGTGCCACGATCAACAAAAATAATGACTTTTCCGGTTCAGTTACTTTAAAGTCGAAACAAAGCGGCCCGTTTATGCTGAATGTTCGAGGCATGAGCATTTAGGTTTACTTGAGTCGGTTCTTTTAGATTTCGGTTCTTATGGATAAAGAAAATTTGAACATTTTTTTTTTATTTCGTTTCGATTTCGGATTGGATATTTTTGAGCCGATTAAGATTCAGATTTTTGGATCCGTTAACATGTTGAGGTCTAGAAGTTCTTCTGTTCAAGTTGTTTATTGGGGATGGAAAATTGTTACCAAAAAGTTGTTAAAACATATTTGAAATGAACTTAGCATGTCACACAGTTGGTCAATATTGTGAGGCGGACATGGACTGATCAAGGAGTCTATTCTTTAGATCTGGAATTTTACTGATATATCCTCTAAAAGTTTACCTTGGAATACAAGAGGAGTACCTCCTCAGTACCCTACTTAGACCATCATTATCGGCGTGACTTAGCCTGGTCCTTAGCATTAATGGGACAAAAAATAAATCAAAAAGGCTGTAATTAGTTGAAAACGTCCTTAATTAAGAAGTTTTGTAGAGCGTCCTTAGCTCAATCAACACCCATCATCTTTTCCCAAATTGCTTTTCCACCAATTTCGTCTGATCAAAAACCACCGGAGAGGGAATATAAATGGCGGTGATTTTAATCGGAAGAGCTTTCAAATCATCGATGAAGGAACCAGACGATGGGAATGTGTGGACTATGATGCTCGATTGTTGCTGAGTGGGAGTATCAGGTATTTTCATTTTTGAAGTCCATCTCTTTCGCTAATGATCTGGAGCTAGTCAGTAACGGGTTTGATAGGATTTAGTTAAAATTCCTTGTGACTGGATCTGTTTATTGTTTATTAAACGTAAAGCTGAGATCTTTATGTCTTGGTTGTTTTCAACGCAACGGCAGGAGCAACTTCGTGTTTCTTTTTTTCTAAGTTGATTGGCCGACCATTGATTACTTGGCTATGGCCTGACAAGTTAAGATTCTTTCAGGCTGAGGTAGAACTCTTCTTTTGATCAATGAATCATCTTTATGAGAAACTCTTCGTTTGGGGGTTCTGATGATTGCTTGTGTGTTGTACAGATTGGTAAGCATAGATATAAGCTTATGAACTATATGTTGTTTCTGAGGATAACAACAACACTGCCAAATCTATTCATCAATTTGGCTTCTCCGATATTCGATGTACCTTTTCATGTCTTCTTTTTGGCGACATTGGTTGGTCTCATTCCCGCAGCTTATATTACCGTCAGGGTAAAGCCCTTCTCCTTCTTCATCTCTCCTTCTGTGTGATTCCTTTCCTTTTGATATATCTAAGTAGAGCTTGAATATTTGGTGTTGTAATTGCAGGCTGGACTTGCTATTGGAGATCTCAAACCGGATTTGTACTTTGATGATACTGCAGAAAGAAAGCTTGAGACTTTGTACTTTTATCTTATAAGAGGTCAAAGAAGTGACTGACTTAGTATGAATCCAATGATCCTATGTAGCTATAGTGTGATAGGTTGAAGATTGGATAAGTGGAAGTGAACTAAGTTCATGAGATGTTAAAGCGTTAGACTTGGCTTTTCTCTACTCATTTTCTTGTCATTGCAGTATATAGTTCTTTAGAGTTTCCGATGTTTGATCTACCTCAGGTTTTGTTTGTTTTGCCTTTTTAGTTGCTTTAAAATGCAATCTATAGTGTATTCCTGATGTTAGTGTTGTTTCTACAGGTAATTGATCTTCTTCTATTCAAGGGAATAGAAGAGCTGACTGACATTGTGGATCACGCAAAGCAGCGTCACCACATCATCGGCCAATACGTTGTGGCTGAAGAGCTCGTTACCGGAAGCAAGGAAAGTATGAGTTTCTCAAGAATTTCTACACCAGCAACTACTTTTGAACTGGTGATTGTTTGTTTCTTTTTTTCACGTAAGTCTTTCCACTATTGTATTTCATGAATTGAACAATTCTTCTTCCCGAAAATAATTAGACCACTTTTTCATTTGTATGAATTTGGTAACCTTTCTAAGTCCTACCAATAATCAACAAATTTAGAAAAGTCCTTAGTTTAGTTCCTAAATATAAAAGTAATAATAAAATATGTTAAGGACTAAAAAACAAGTCCCACCAATAATGATGCTCTTAGCTACAAAACCATCTGCACTTTAATAGCTGGGCCCGCATATGGTCCCGGACGCATGTGTTTCCCTACTTTTTCTTTTCCTAACACAGTTCTATAACAAGTACAAAATCAGAGAAATAAGCCCACGACATTATTCGGATTAGGCTTTAGGTCTCACAAAATTATTTGGGCTTTCCTTGTATTGTTTTTTTTTGTTTGTGAACTCTTGCCACTTGGGTATGTATGTTTTTGTCACTATATTCGATTACTTTTTTGATGAGCAGATTATTTAGCCAATCGAAGCCCAAAAAGATCTTACAGCAAAGATCTTATGAGCAGATTTTTTTTTTAAAGATTTCAGATGTACGTAAAGTCAATGTTGAATCTGAGTTTGTTGCAAAATTCAATTTGTGGGTCTTAAGAAGACGTTTTATTAATCAATATATGATGACGAATGTGATTACAAGAAGATTAAGAGAAATGTAAAAGGTTGGGACTTTATGAAAACTCCGACGAAAACACAAAGGAGTTCGATCAGTTGATAAACCTTAGATCTTGTCGTCAGTATTCTTGTGCTTATTTTCGGATCCCCTTTCTCTCTCTCCTTTGTCGTCCTTTTATACTCCCAAGTCCATTTCTGCTTTGTTCGTCCTAAAACTCGTTTCAAAGGCCCAAGATCGATTTCATGTTTAATGGGCTTTCGAACTAGCAATTATTCCCGGAACCGGGTTTAAATCGATTTAATCGACCGGTTACCGAATTAAATCGATCGTTCGGACTTCCAGCTTGATCCTTCTTCCAATCGCACTTTAGTCGAACCTTAGGTGGGCCGAAACCTATTATTCGACGGATCTTGTGGAGAGATGTTCAATCCCTCTCCAACAGTCGAGAGTTAATTTTTATTTCATATAAATGTTATATAAAGATTTGAAATTATTAATTAACCGAGAACAACAAAAATAATGCGTATAAAATAAGATCAAAAGAAGGAAAAAAATTCACTGCGAGTGTCTTTTGAAAGTCCAGTATTTTTTTCACATATATAAAAATTTGGTGGGTATTATTGCAGCCATTTTAAAAACGCTATATCGTTATCTATTGTTAATTTCCAATTATGGAGGCGGATGTAATAATCTATTATCGATTTTAGATCATTGGTTATGGTTTAAATGTTTTGTTGACATTTTCTTCTAAAAAATAACTCAGATATTTGAAATTGTAAATTCAATTCTATTGTTTCATAAAATCATAATCATAAACATATTGATGTGATAAGTCACGACCTTTCTTTCTGATAAGTCATGACTTACTAAGCATAAAGAATTTTAAATTACTATAGTCTTAAATAAGCAAGTGTTTTGGTATGCTATGTTTATTTTCCTGTGTATATTTTGGATAAGTATAACTTGCCAAAGAATTATTTAAAAGAGATCGTGTTAACGCGGGGATATCCCTAACTTGTATGGTTTGCCCTAACAAATTAGAAAGCTTTAAATATGTTACTTTAAAAATAAAAGTAAACTCTCACACTTTATAAAAGAAAGGTTAAAATCGCTTTACATAACTCCATAACTTTGTATATAGTTTGGTTTACATGAGATGATTAGAATATCCATTAAATACGATAATGCGGTTACCTAAGCATGTCATTAAGCACTTGTTTCCCTGTTTATCCGAGCGGTCTAATCAAATTTTAATAAGTAGTGTTTAGTTAACGAAAGTGACGTTTGCGTTTTGATTTTATTTCGTGCAAAGCAAATCTTAAAAAGAAAAAACAAATATAGAGAGAGAAAGTAAAAGGAATCCGAAGGGAAAAATATAAAAGATTTTATTTCGCAAAATAAAATAAAAGAAAAAACAACGAAGTAACAGAGAGAGACGAAAAGGAAGGAGAAGAAGAAGCAGAACAGAGGGAGGGGGTCAGCATTTCTCGAAAAGACAAGAGCTTTGAGATTACTTTTGTTTTGTCTTACAGAGATATATGGATTCAAAGCCATAAATCTCTTCATTAGATAAGGGGATGGTTATGAGTTGGAGGAGAGTGGTGAAGTGGATACAAGCCTTGGCGGCTCATATCTTTCTCTTCTCTTTCACACTATTGTTGGTTCTTAAACTCGATCACACCCTCTCCTCCTCATGGTGGTTAGTCTCTGTTATCTCTCTCAATTGTCTTAAAATTCGGTGCATGAATCAGCTTTTCTTTCTTCTTACACATCTGATTGGTTCGATTTCTATTTTTCTTGTTTTGATGGTGAAGAATCGAGACTTATGCGATTGAAAATTCTATCCATCCTTTTTGAGTTTTTTTTAACCCGTTGAATTTTGAAGAAACAGAAGTAGTTTCCCTTTTGTCTCTATGCTCCGTTATAAAGAGATAGTTTTTACTGTATAAACTTGTTGCAGTTATCTCCATTCCCTTTAAGTGTGACAAACTTTTGAGAAATTATTTCTTTTTTCTTTGTAGGATTGTATTTTTGCCGCTGTGGGCATTTCATGCAGTTGTTGCAAGAGGAAGGTTCTCCCTTCCTGCTCCTGTTGCTCCTCGTAACCGTCATGTATGCTCCTTTTTTCTTTTTTTTTGGTTTCTTACCTCTCTTTTTGATACTATGATATGTTTTGTGATCCCTTTTTTGTTTGTACAGTGGGCTCCGTGCCATGCTGTTGTCGCCACACCGTTGCTTGTAGCATTCGAACTGCTCCTCTGTATATACCTTGAGAGTTCCTATGGTAAATAACCTCTACATTTAGATGTCACAGGTCTGGGGGTTGTTTGCCTGACAGCATTTAAAGAATATAGTAAGCTAGTTTCTTGGCATGGGAACACATTGATATAGATACATGTATCCTAATGGCTCTGTTCTTATACTTTTAGTTTGGAGGACATAAAAAAAGTAGTTTGATTTTGTATGAAGGAATTGTTTTTCATTTTCATCACATTCACCTTGGATTGTGACCTATTCTATCTCAAATGGCAGGTAGCTTGCCACCAGCTGTGAGTTTGAAGATCGCATCCCTGCCGTTATTGGCATTTGAATTAACCATACTGATAGACAATTTGAGGTATTGTAACATTAAGTGTTCACTACTTTTACTTCAACAACTTGTCAAACATTGACATTCCTTTTATTGGTACCAAACTGAGTTCCTAACTACGACGAGCTTTATTTCAGAATGTGTCGAGCATTGATGCCAGGAGACGGAGACAGCATAAACGATGATGCAGTATGGGAGGCACTTCCTGTAAGTCCATCTGCTTCCTGTGTGTCACGTAAATTATTGTATGGCTTGTTTTTTCTTCTGTTGATGGGCAGAGGAAGCTGGTCTGTACTTAAAATAAAACATTTAGGATGTCTTTTTCTTGTTGCCTGCAGCATTTCTGGGTTGCTATGTCTATGGTGTTCACGTTGGCTGCTACATTCTTCACCCTCCTAAAGCTCACTGGTAATGTTATGTCTGTCGAATGCTTGTTTAAATAGTTTTCTTCCTTGATCTCTTCTTTCTGAGATCTTATCTTCTACATATAATGTTATTGTGTTCCTTTCCTTGTTTTATTTTTTAATACTCAGGCGATGTAGCTGCTCTCAGCTGGTGGGATTTATTTATAAATATTGGGTATGCTTTGTTCTTCTTGTTTAAGAAATACTCGTCATTTTGTGGTTGGTAGAATAGAAATGAGCATGAAAATTGATATATGTGAAAATGTTTTGCTTGCAGAATTGCCGAGTGCTTTGCTTTCCTCGTTTGTACAAAATGGTCCAACCCAGTGATCCATAGAAACTCACGTGCCCGAGAAACGGGGTCATCTTCTACCGCTGTTAGATATCTTGACTGGAACAGTGGCCTCGTAGTTGCTCCAGAAGAGGATAGGCATCAAGATAGAATGTGTGGTCTACAAGATCTAGGTGGCCACATGTTGAAAATTCCCGTCATTGTATTTCAAGTCGTCCTTTGCATGCATCTAGAGGTATACATACACCACATGTATCCCTGTCTCACCATAACGTATTTTGACTTTACTAAAAAGGCTGATGTTTTGGACTTTTCAGGGGACTCCTGAAAGAGCAAAGGATATATCTATTCCTGTCCTGTTTTCTCCACTATTCTTATTGCAAGGCCTCGGTGTTCTCTTTGCTGCATCCAAACTAATAGAGAAGATCGTCGTCTTACTACGCGGGGAAGCTGGTTCAGGGTTGTATTTTAGATTTTCATCAAGAGTCCATGATTGCTTGGGTTTCTTGCACCATGGTTCCAGGTGACAAACACGTTTGTTTATTTCCCCAAAATGGTTTGCTTTACAATAGTATATACTAACAACATTCTCTTTACTTGCTCAGGCTGTTAGGTTGGTGGTCGATTGATGAAGGAAGCCGAGAGGAACAAGCTCGACTGTACATGGATGGTGAATCTGGGTTAGTTAGTATAATATAATCCAATCCAACCTTCTACATGGTTTAACAAAAATTGTTGTTGAACCTGCTGAAAGATTGATGATAATATGCTTCTGCAGTTACAATACCTTCAGTGGTCATCCACCTGAGATAGTCAAGAAAATGCCTAAGGAAGATCTTGCTGAGGAGGTAACTTCACTTCCTTTTCTTTTCCAATCCTGATATGAACTTTAGGTTGTGAAGTCTTGAATCCTGTGCCTTGTAGTTGCAATATTGCTAAGTGTTGTTTGCATTTGGTCTAATTTGATGCCATCTAGGTGTGGAGACTTCAAGCCGCTCTCGGTGAACAAACCGAGATCACAAAATTCAGCCAGCAAGAATATGAAAGACTGCAAAATGTAAATTTTTCTCCTCCCTCCATGCTCTCCTGTGTCTCCTAGTAGTATTTTCTCTGCTGGTGTTTCTTTCTCTTTGGCTTAATCCTGTTCCAAATGTGTCGTATGCACCAGGAGAAAGTGCTGTGTAGGATTTGCTTTGAAAGAGAAATCAGTTTGGTATTGCTTCCATGTAGACACCATGTTCTCTGCAGGTATGATCATTAATCCATAGTATACTTAATCAAGTTTGCATTAAAGAAACTAGGAGCCTGTGACTGAGGTCATATCGATATAATTAGATCTCATCGCTGACTTAGTTGCTATGTTCATATGTTGTTTCTCTGCCATTCTTGTTGTTGCAGAATCTGTTCAGACAAGTGTACAAAGTGCCCAATATGTCGTGTAGCAGTTCAAGAACGACTACCTGTATACGACGTATGAGTATGACTGGCGACTGCGTCTAACTTTGGCCCAATTTAGAAAGTAGGATTTGAGGTTGATGCTCCAAAACAATCATATTCCTAAACTTTTGATGTGTGTTCTGCTGAATCTTTTTATTTGCCTGATCAGCATCAAGTATAAAAATTATAGGTGTATACATGTCTTTTTAAACCTCATCCATACCTTTGTAACAACAAACAAACCTCATTCAAAGTTTGTATAATATGCTTCACCCTTTTTGTATTCTATTTTGTGTAGATGCCTTCAGTAACTGATTTAAATAGAATACAGAACCATACATGTATATATACACTGTTCTAAGCCAGTCTCGAGAACAAAAGAAACTTCAAACAAACCACATGTAATTTTCTCAAGGCCTAGTTTCCCATTGTTCATAGATGAGGTTTAGATGTTTACATTTTCTTCTTTAGCTTCATCCCCTTCTTATGAACCGGCTGAGTCTGTGTCGGCTCCACGAGCAGCAACCTCGACATCACATAAGCCAAAAGCTCTTCACGGTGAGAGAATGTAAAATCCAAATGAGCATACTCAAACTCATTGTAAGAAGCATCAACAACACCTGTTTCTCTCATCACCCTGTAATGTTTCCTAACCATAGAAGGTCTAATCACTTTATCTTTCTTTCCGGCTACTAAATCCACAGGGACATCAATCAACCCGTAGAACTCTCCAAGATCCAGCGGCTCAGGAGACCCGTAAACCTCCATATTAGCCTTAACGCTACCATAATCAAACATTTTGAACTTGCTGCTACGTTTCATCTGAGCAAGATGCAGAGCCACACGGAAGGATACAGCCGGCATATCGTTCATGTTATAGTGAGGCAAACCCATGACTCCAAGCCAGTTCGAGCTATCACCACCAACTACGTAACTCATCAACGTCTGGACCAATCCACCAACAGCAGGATAGTTGTGGAAGTCTCTAGCTAACTTGTTGAGAAGCATCCGGAAGAATCTAGTGGGGATGTAGAAAGCAGGAACGATCCTGGATAGTACTGGACCCAAGAGAAGGAATGAGTGCTCTATTAACGTAAAACAAAGGTTGGAGTCTTCGTGAAACCCAGCTGGAGAAAGCAGGATCAGTCTCGAGAGTCTGTGAGGTTTCTCTTCGATTCTACTGGTGATTACATACATTAGAACAGCAGCACCACCTAGACTGTGAGAGAGAACGCAGAGCTTATAAGGCTGCTCCTCGTTTACTACCTCTTCTACATTAGGCTGGTAGAGTCTCAGTTCTGAGGTTTTGATTTCGTGAATCTTCTCTATCATTGCGGGGATGTCCTCTCTTGCATGCTCATTGATGGAGTAGCTCCAGAAGCTGCATTTTGTTCAGGATCCATCAATAAAGATACAAGAAATCAACGCTATGAAGGATCAGTTTGTCTATGTATACACTCACTCTTTTGAGGATATGTTTTTGTTCACATGATCTCTTGAAACTAAACCACGGAAGTTCCCTAAGTAAACATCGTAGCCTGACAAGAAGAAACAGAGTTAAATCTTTACTACACAGTTTTCACAAAGAGACTTGAGAAATAAGTATTGTTTTAGCGCAGACCTTGATCATAAGCAGCAAAAGCAGGAGATCCAACAACTCCATTTGATACCCATCTGAAGATAAAAGTAACAGATGAGACATAGAGGCAACAAGTCATCAAAGAGATAGACTGTGAAACTCACCCCATTGAAGAATCCAAAACACCATGCTGCAAGAAAACAGCTTTCCTCGCGTCTCGTCTGTAAAAAGCCATAAGAGGAAGTGTTATTGATTACATCTTAAAGGAACTTACTAAACCATAATAGATGATGTACCTTGGTATCCTTTCCAAGAGAAGACCATATCCATCAGATGTAACAACGCGAATAGCTTCATATGGATACCTAACAAGATTAACTGCGAAGTTTAATCAAACAGAAAACATTGTTAAGAATAACATAAGTAAAAAAAAGGAATGAAGAACCTACCCAAGCTCTGTTATAACATCTTGACAAGTCCGAGTATCTGTATTGTACAAGCTCGTAGTGGTTCTTTCCGTAGGGGATGAAGAATCGTCGTCTCCTACAGTTTCATCATCCAAAACATCGTAATAGCCTCCTTCAGGGCCGTGACTGTGACTGGAGGAAGAAAACCATGATAAAACTATTCCAAAGGCTTCTGATGGAGAAAGAAGAAGATGCGCCGCCTTGTGAAAGAAATCAAATATAGCATCTATAAAGATCTCAATACCAAGCTGAAGATCCTGCAAAAACAAAACAAAAACATGTGAGTGTGCAAGAGCAGTGATTAGTAGAGTATGTTCATGCACACAAACCTCAATGACACCACGTCTTCTATCAGTAGTTCGGTTAGGGACGTCATGCTCTTTCCCTGGGACAGCTTTGCTAAAGTAAGGTCTAGGAGAATGTCGGTACCTTCCTGGACTCATAGGAGACACTCTTGAATCTCTTCTGCTAAAAAGGCGCAAGAGATACAACGGTATCCATAGAAAGATCCTGGAGGGTAGCAAAACCCACCAGAGTATGGAAGTTATCCATTCTGTCCAATGGCTTTCGTAATTAGCAGGAAGACTAGCCCAAGAGCGGAGTGAGGTTTGAGATGACGGCGACGGAGGTGTTGACATAGCATCACTGTCTTCTCCAGATGAGTAGTCCAGGCTAGAAGTGTCAGAATCCACAGAGAGCTCGTGAATGAAGTGGTTGAAAGAAGAGACGCCACTGCCAAAAGAGAGTAGAGCAAGCATTACATTAGTACTAGTGTTATTTTAAGGTAGTGATAAGCAAGAGAGAGTTATATACTTATGCATCCAGCGTGGTAAACGAGGACCACGTAAAGTAGGCCTTAGTTCCCAACCATGAAGACCTTCAAGAACACTGGCTTTGCCAGGGAGAAGAGTCAATAGAAGTGCAGAGACTCCATTTATGGATCTTGCAATGTTGTTCAATGACTCATAAGTCAAAGTTTTCACTGACCTGCACCAAAGACCCAAACACATTAGCCAAAGTCATAGTTTGCTAACAGCATAAGCTCTCCTACAATGAACCCCAAAAGACAAACGGAAATGCTCTAAATAAAGAAAACTAACCACAAATACAAAAAGACAATCACTGTACCAATTAACAGAACTGAGTAAATTAGAATAATCTAAAAAGGTGTTATCAAATTGTCATATCCTCAAATTATCAGAAGCTGGAGGATATCGTCTAAGCTCAACTACATGACCATTGGCTCAATCAATCCACATCAAAAAAATTCAAAGTACATTCAATAATAGTCACAATCAAATCTAGCCTATCAGATTTACAAACCCAAAGCTAAGGGAAACTATAAAGTTGAAAACTTTACCTAATCAGAGATCACAAAAACCACTAAAAATGGAATGACGAATGCAAGAATCAAAGAGAAAGAGAGATAGAGAGGTGAGAGCTCACTCTTTGGTGACAGCGAGAGCGTTGTCGACAATCCTCTGCATGATGTTGTCACAAAAATATGAAACTTTCAGACAAAACAGGTGTTTTCTCTTGTTGGTTTAATCAAAAAACGAAGACGGGTAACCCCACAAAAAAATCAAAAAGCCGCAATCTTAACGAGTGAGAATGGATTGAGAATCGGATAAATGGCACGTCGGCGATTCTTGCCGTCCACAAAGAAGGTCGGTCAACTTTATTTTAGAGAGAAAGTGACAGTTGAGTGACACGTGGATGTATACTAATGGATGATTCAGAATGTGTCATGTAGTGGATTTGCATGCGGATATGGGGACATGACACGTAAGTCTGTAGTGGCGGATAAGTTACTCTATTTGTCCTTTCTTTCTGACAATAAGCTTTAATATTGTCGTGAGTAAAATTTCGAATAATTAATAACATTAGTTAATTAGTTTATAATTTATATATCTCTCCAAGTATACTATTAGCTTTTTGTGGTTTGAATCTTTATCATGTTTGCTAATGTATTATCAAACAAAATTCAAAAGTCATTAGCATTTTGGGGCAACAAGACAAAGCTGATCAGATTCAACTTTAATCCGGATTTAAGTTGATTTAGTGACGTGGACGGTTTTATTATCTTAACATCTGAAGATAAGCTGAAACTATTGTCGCTCTAACAGTCTAATTAAAACCCCCCTTTCACGTGTCATCATTGGCTGTTTCTCACCACTATAGTTTTTTTATAAATAGCACGGTTTAGTGACATACGACGGTTTTGATTATCCGAATATCTTATAATGTTTGTTTAATCTGTAACTTGAAATAATGAAGAATCAATTTTTGATGAACCATAAGATCAATACATTAGCTAGGTTTTCAAGTTTTGTCCTCTAAGATTCCACGGGATCTGAATGCTGCTTTTTGATAGCATTTTCTCTGAATGTATGAAGGGCCATGTTCCTCATACCTTCATGTTTCAGCGGAGAAACTAAACAATCAGTTTCTTTTGCGAGTATGTGATCAATTGAAAGAAAAAAAGCAAAAACAAGGACTTACTCGGATTTGGAGAACCACATCTACTGGAAAAATATTAAGCAGAATAAATGTTATTTATAGATACAAACGTTTACACTCAGCCACTGAAAGCTTCCTTGAAATTGGCTATGTCACAGAGCTCATCGTACGCATTCACGAGATTCTCCAACCTTGCGGCGAACTCTATCAGCAGCGAAGCGAACGTAGCTAAAGACAGATCAGCACTCTCGCTCTTCCACATTATACTGCTTATAGAGAGCAAGAAAGGAGGCCACCACGTCTGTCTCGGGAGAAGCGCGGCTTCCTTATGAGATTCATAATCCAGCTTCCGACTTATTAGACCCTCCTCGTCAATATTCGATACTTCGATTCCATCATTCCCGATCTCCCAATTCTCCACGTTCACGAGAAGGTACGATTTCTTGTCGATTTTGCTCTGAAGTTGTTCAGCTGCTTGGTGAATCTCCTCGAGGATGTCTTCTATAGGGTTTAGTCTCTCCATCTTCTTCAGCTTTTGGCCTATGAGTCTTAGTACTTTTGCTCCTTCGAGACCTACCTTTTGAAGCTCATTACGAAATGCCTCTCTTTTCTCCTCTGGAGCCTGCATGCATATACTATTGTCTCAATATCTCTCTATTTTTTTTTCCTTTTTTTTTGTTTGTCTCAATATCTCTCTTAGATGTGAAGTTGTGAGTGTTGTGAATGTACCTGAATCTGTGAGAGAATGCAGCCATGTAATGCCATTACCATGAAAGCACAGTGCCTCAATGCGCCACCTACTTTCACGTACATCTTCCATGGATATCTGAATGATCTGTATGGACCGTGTGGTGGCTCCCATGCAGCAAAACCCATCTTCACAAAAAGGAAGAGATAGAGATGTGAGAGTCTTATTGTGATAACCCTTCCTGCAGACCCAGGCTTATTGCAATGCACCGACTGGTCCGTCTCTAATTCTTCAACGTGGGAGAAAATTGTCTCCACATCCACCGGTTGGTTATTGGTGTGTTTAATATTCCTCGAGCCAAAACATCACCATTTAACAACTTTACACAAGACAAATTGTCACCAAATTGAATGGTGACAACTAGTCTTGTGCAAGATTGTTAAATGGTGATGTCTTGAGTCATCAAAAGCACCAATAACCTAGGCAAGACGGGTTATTACACTTATGTTTTTGATGAGTGAATGAGGAATCCTTACCAGAGTGTCTTCTTGGCTTTTTGATTCCACGGCTGATCTGTAGCCAGTATCGACTACTGAGATTAAATCATAATGTGCGCTATTGAGATATCCATTCACACAACCTGCACCCAAAAGGAACCTTCTCTATGGATTTGTATTTTTGACAATGAGTCAGATGAATATAATAAAACCTTCCAAAGAAGTGGCGACATTCACAAAGTTATTTGTGATCAAGTTGTGGAGATCATCCCCGGCCCATATGGGATAAATGCAAATGTTCACAATGAGACCAATGGATGCACCAAGTGCTATCATAAGCAACCTTGAGACAGCTGTTTCCATGAACTCCCCTGATCTGTATCCCGACACTATTACGTAGCAATAGGTCAGCAAGAACACCCGGAATCCATACTCATATGGCTTCATCGTTGGATATAGCTTTGCATAAGTCCCAAGAAAGGCTGATACACAAGCTGTTGTCAGGAATCAGAAGGAGATTCATAGGTGAAATCTTTATTCTAGACCAGATGATCCCTACCTACTACGAAGATGCTAGCAGTATTGAAAACATCTGCACATTTTCCAGTCATATCGGATATCTCAGCCGTGCCAAGCGCCAAGGCTCCAGCAGATAAAGTTCCTAGTCCCACGTGGCATCCTTTGCTAAAGGTGCCTCCTACACAAAGAAGAGAGGATTTTCACATCAGGTAATGAATGTTCAAGTTTGATGTGTTTAGTATATTGCATATTCACCTATACTGAACTCGAAGATAACAATTATTGTGAGGATTGCCCAGAGATAGTGGTTGCTGACCTCTGATCCTGGGAGCTTAAAGAAGACGAGAAGGGAGATGAGTGTCAGAGCCAAACCCATCTTGGCTGAGAATATAATCTTCCTCGGGTCAGATGTTCCCATCTCCCACGCCCGAACTAAAACACCCTTTGATTTCTTCACCAAGTACCTGCAAACAACGCCCATACCATTTGAAAGCTTTAAGGACTTGGAAAGTACTATTTGGTCAATAGAGTATGTGGGAAGGAGGAGGGATTGTAGTATTTAGATTTTCTAACATGTAGGAGCAGCAACGGGCGGGAGTATTGTCTTCAAACATATAGGAATAGTCTCTAAAGCTTTGTCTAAACGAACCATCGAACATGTTACTTCGCCTGAAAGATGCGTCAAACATGCTACCCCGCCTGAAAGATTCCAGGTTTGGTGCCGTCATTCTGGTTCCTTGTTCTGATGATCACACAAGAGAGGAAGAGACAGGGCGTAAACAGAGACGGAGGTCTTGGAAGAAGAGGCTCTATTTCTGGTACATTGTGGTTTTAAAAACACACAAATGCTGATTTGGAACTTTTCCGACTTCGTAAAGAAATGGTTTGCAAATCTTACGTTTTGCTGCTATGCACGTCTTTGAGCATGTTTTCATGTCTAGTTACAGATTTTTATCAACAGACAATCTCAACAACATGTATTATAATAATGGTCGAACGTACGGTCACATTTTTAAAAGATATGTATATGTAAGAAGAAGCTCCATCGTTTAACTATAATCTGACTTTAACAGGAAATCTTCTCTAAACCCTAACATTCTTCTCCATGGTCACAAAGAAAGAAAAAGAAACTTATTTTCCAAGTAATTGTCAATACACATATACAGAAATGGCTTCTTGAAGTCTCTTTATCACTGTCTTAATGTCCTTGGGTTCCACTCTTACTCCGAGTCCTCCTGCTTCTTGTGCTTCTCTTCTGCTAGCCCTGGCTCCATGTGGTTCATTCCTGCAGGGCTTTTTTCTAGCTCCCGGCTCAGCAATGCTGCAGTAGCCTGAACCAGATCTAACGCCAACAACCAACCTGCCTCTTCCTCAACAAATATTCCACTTTATCATCTTTTCACAAATCTGCAAATATAAATCCTCCATTTACTTTTTAAACATAAAAAAAAAACTCAATTTTTGATATGTATAGATTTTTGTGAAACTTATAAGAACTTTTGGTTTCTTGTTAAAAGGGGTTTCCTCTGTCTCTCCACCCTCTATTAACTCAACCGGTTCTCAAGTATCTCTAGGTGCAAAGAACAACTCTTCTGTTGCAAGCAAGTCTATTAATGAGAAATATGTTAACAAATAAATCATGTTATCAAAAACATCTGTTAAACTACAATTGGTAAGTAAAAATGCTCTGTGTTATGGAATTGGGTATTGGTATACTTTCCCAAAAAAGAAAAAGAAATAATCATCCATTAAAGAACACAAACACAGATTCTAACTGGTTGTTAACAATCTTAAACTTTAGCATTGTTGATAAACACATATTAATGTTTCCGCGTAACTAATTTACTTACTGATCCATTTCACAACTACACTATCAGGAGACTGTGCAACCGACGGTCCACTCTTACTCACAGCTGCAACAGCAACCAACGGTCCACTCTTATTCACATCTGCAACATCCTTTTCCGAACCAAAGCTAATAGTCTGTATCCTCTTCAGCGTCTCCATCACGTGCGACATACACGGCCTAAGATCTTTATCCGACTGCAAGCATTGGAGGGCCAACTCAGCGACTGCGATCACGGTCTGTCTCACTTCTGCGTTCGTGTCGAACCCAAGTGAAGGATCCACCATTTCTGATTGGGATTTGGTGGACAATATATGGGAACTGTGCCATCTTTGATAGGTGACAATATGACAAAAAAAAAAAATGCAATCTTTTGTTCACTAAACACTTCACATTCATGTCAGTAATCAAAAGAGAGGACGAGCCAAATAAACCTCTATTTGAATTTTGATCCCATCCCACATGGAGCTTGCGTTTGCCCTTCTGCTTTCCACAACTTCGAGTCCTCTCCTCTGAATTTGAATTAATCGTTGCAACAAAATCTATATCCATTGTCTCTAGGCACAAAGGTTTCGTGGTGTAGTTGGTTATCACGTCAGTCTAACACACTGAAGGTCTCCGGTTCGAACCCGGGCGAAGCCATTACCATTTTTTTGTACATTTTCATGAAAATTCTCAAATTTCTTAGAGTACAAACAAAAAACAACGCCGTTGCCGGAGATCGAACCCGGGTCACCCGCGTGACAGGCGGGAATACTTACCACTATACTACAACGACTCAGATGCTAATTTATTCAAATAGAGTTTATCCAATGTTGATAAAAAGAGATTGCAAAGTTTATTACTCTCATCAACCTCAAATCCTACTGTCAAAGTTGCTCCATCAAAAGAGGAGAGTGTCTGTTTCAGATCATATATACATTCCCAAAAAAATATCATCAAACAAAGAACACAAACACCAATTCTAACCGGTCGTTAACACTCTTTAAGCTTTTAATATACTGAATTACTGATAAACAAATACATATGTTAATGTTCCATGCAACTATTTTACTTACTGATCCATTTCACCATAACACTATTAGGAGACTGTGCAACCGACGGTCCACTCTTACTCGCATCTGCAACATCCACAGACAGTCCAACCAACGGTCCACTCTTACTCACATGTGTAACATCTACAGACAGTGCAACCAACGGTCCACTCTTACTCACATCTACAACATCCACAGACTGTGCAACCAACGGTCCACTCTTACTCACATCTACAACATCCACAGACTGTGCAACCAACGGTCTACTCTTACTCACATTTGCAACATCCTCTGACTCTGCAACCAACGGTCCACTCTTACTCACATCTGCAACATCCACAGACTGTGCAACCAACGGTTCACTCTTACTCACATCCGCAACATTCTTTTCCAAACCAAACCTAATGTTCTGTATCCTCGTCAACGTCTCCATCACGTGTGACATGCACGGCCTAAGATCTTTATCCGACTGCAAGCACTGGAAGGCCAGCTCAGCGACTGCGATCACGGTCTGTCTCACTTCTGTGTTCGTGTCGAAGCCAAGTGAAGGATCCACCATTTCTTGGAGCTTACGGCTCTGGATTTTAAGGATTGCCATGTTCGAGAGGTTGATCTCTTGGCGCTGCCTTTTCGTATCGACAGCTGGAAGCGAGGAGATAAGCTCCATCAGCACTACCGCGAAGCTGTACACGTCGCTTTTGTTGGAGAGTTGGTAGCTTAGGTGGTAATCTGGATCAACGTAACCTGGAGTTCCTTGTGGACCGGTTGATACGTGGGTTTGACCAGTAGGGAACAGTCTTGAGAGTCCAAAATCCGCAACCTGATTGTCAACAGGTAAGATATGAAAAAAGATGAGGGAGACCATGACATGTAGGCAAAGGCATAAAATCCGGAATTTGAAATTTATACCGAGAAAACAAACCATATATATCCGGTTGCAGATATAAATATTGAATGTAAGTGAAGGATATTAGAAACATATCTGAACCAAAGTGTTATTAAATCAAACCAAATGAATAACTAAAAAACTGAACCAAATATTCAAATTAATATTTGGTATAAATATTTGAAACATAAATAGGTACTTCAAAAACTCAGTTATGTATTATTTGATATGAAATCTAAAAATAAATATTTAAATTTAAAATATTTTTACGCTTTTTTGAAATCTAAAAAAATAAATATTCAAACTTAAACAAATATATAAAGACTTTAAATATCCAATTCCATATTTATTTTGATATGAGACTCAAAAAAATATTCGAAGCTGAACTGAACCCGCATCCAAATTATATATTGTTATTTATACACTACCAATATATCTCGACTCTATTTTAATGCGTTTAAAAATGTATTTTAATTTCAAAATGAATCAGAAGTGTTATTAACCAATTCAGACATATACCTATAAAATATTAGAATGTGACCTAGAACTATAGCCAAACATCTGAAATTCTAAAATACCCAACCCTAATCCAAATGGGTCACCCAAACTACCTAAACATAAGTAATAGCCAGTGTAAGTTACTGACCTTGACATTGAAGTTTTGGTCGAGTAGGATATTAGTGGACTTAACATCACGGTGGATGATATCAGAGGCGTGGAGATAGTTCAAAGCTGAGGCGGTTTCAACAGCGATCTTGAGACGTGTAGACCAAGGAAGTAAACTAGGGTTAGCCTGTGCACCATGTAGATGATCAGCTAACGTTCCGTTTGCAACATACTCGTACACTAGCAGTAGTTCCCGGCTCTGTTTTGAAGAGCATCCAAACAAAGTCACGAGGTTGGGATGGCGTAAACCTGTTAAGATCTCAACTTCGTTCCTGAACTGCTCTGCTCTTTTAAAGTTGTTATCGTACAAACGTTTCACAGCTACGCTTCGTCCATCTTTAAGCTTACCGTAGTAGACAGTACCAAAGCCTCCATCACCGAGTTCTTTAGATGGGTCGAAGTGGTTCGTGGCTTCCTCTAGCTCTTCGTAGGTGAAGAGACGAACTCCGACTAACTCTTCCTCTGCTTTTTCTATGTCTGAGGACTTTGGAAATTGATTTGAGAGGTTTCTAAGAAGCAAATCTGAAGATGTTCTGTAACTTTTGGTTATTCTACGATGGTACGTGAACCAAAAGAGGCTCGCTGCTGATATTCCCACGACAGAAGCGACAGCACCTATGCCGATCTTCACCTCATAATTTGGACCTGAAGAGACTAAGACGAAAAACATGGTCAGGAACTTTCAGAATATAGTATTCTCAAAGACCATAGGAAGTGAGGCATGTTTTTACTGTTGCTAAACATATCATATCAACTTCTCCATACTTTAAGGAGGGTGAGATTATGCAAGGAAAATTCTAAATTTCCACTAGTTATTATTCCCTCTATTTCATAATAATTGAATTTAAAAAAAATAAAAAATTCAAAATTGTGATATTGTTTATTTTTCTATGTAAAATTTTAATGTCCCTTGACATTTATAACTAATCACATAATGTATCATATTTTGTATTGATTGAATTAATTTTATTTAATTACCCATGTGGTGAACCTTCTTAATTCATCTCACATGTTATCACTAATTAAATGAAAGAGGGAACATGACTTTCTTATACACCCGACTACCGAAAAAATAATCTTAACCCATCAATTGATCATGCTAGGATCAAGAAAAGACCAGTTGTACAAAGTACATGGCCGTTCTGGTACCTTCTTTTTGATATATTCGGATTTTATATTTTTGGGTTGGAAATATCATTGAGGTATTTATAGATTTTGATTGGATTTGGTTCGGATCTTTGTAAGTTCGATTCGAATTTGGATAACTCATTTAAATTTTTCAAAACCTGAAAAGAATAATATATAACATAAAATTTGAATAATAGATGTCAAAATACCTAAACTTATTGTAAAAAATAGTTTAGCTTGAATATTTGAATGAAATATCAATAGATATTTCAAATGTTTTTGGTATTTTAAGTATACTTTAGTTATTTTAAATATTTAGTTTTGACTATATTTGTATATATTTCAAGTATTTGGAGAATTCTAAAATATCTTATATATTTAGATATTTTTGGATATTAAATCTGGTTCGGATGCCCAAAATATTTTAGTTTGATTCATGTTAGGTTTAGTTCCAATTTTCTAAATATCAAAATTTTGAATCTAGTTTTTTAACTAATTTTGGTTTGGGTTTGATATTATTTTTTCAGATTTGATATAGTTCAAATCTTCGGATTTTTTTGAGCAGCCCTAATATGCATATTTCTGGAACAAAGAAGACTGACTATCTTTCAAATGATTAGGAAAGTCCTGATTTTATGATAATGGATATTTAGAAACTTGCACCCAAAACAAAAAAAAACAAAAAAGTCAATGGAAAACAAGACACGTAAACATCAAAATGAAAAAGCCAAAATACACTATTACTAAATTTAAAAAGGTTGGGGTCAATAACGATTTCGTCAAAGTAAACGAATTCTAGAGTCAATATGCATCACGATCGATTTGATGGAGCTAATTATAATTGTAATGGTGGCAATTATCTAAACCCAATGTAAAAGTCAAATTTAGACCGAAAAAACTAACCTTTTTCGTCGTGGCAGGAGAATTTGTGAGGCTTGTCTGCACACAGACACACGAAATTTCCCGACCGTGACTCCGAACCACATATCCCAGTTGAATTAAAACATTCCTTGCAACTCTTGTCTTCTTTATCGTACCTCAACTCGAACCCCTTTTCCAAAGCCACCTTCAATGCTTGATCCGAGCCATTCGCCTTGCGAAGCTCGTTTTTAGCAGACTCGAGCATCGGTATCTCTCCAACCTTGGTACAATTTCTAGGAGGATGAGACGATCCAAAGACATGATACGTTATCGGATTCTCTTTGCTTAGCTGGCAAGAAACCGTTGACAAGGATTTTGCCGAGATGTTATCAGCGCAATTGAATATATCGACCAACTCGGTGTTATGGTTTAACGTGAACTGCTTAGCCCCCGTGAAGTTGAAAATATTTAGGCAACCATCTTCGAACAAACTCTCATCAGCTACGGTGATTGACTTATTAACAAGATTCACAGAAATAACTCGGAAAGTGATCTGCTCGATCTCTAGGGTTAGGGTTTGATTCTTCTTGCAAGAAAGCTCGAACCCTGTTTGGCCACAGAAGTTTGGTCTACCGATGGTATTTCCCCAAAATGGGTAAGTGATGTTTTGGAACAGAGACGGTTCGGATCCACATCTCGGAGGTAGTCGGCACGCCTCGTAGTGTTGATCGAAGGAGAAGCACGACGGGAGGTCAGTGATGTAAAGGACCACGGAGATGATGAGGAGAAGAGAGATGGACATTGAGCTTTTGACAGGATAGACTAACGATAAGTTAAGACCATTTGTTTGTTGGGACTTGGGAGGGTTTCTTGAGGACTTTATGAGAGCCTGGTCAAAATGATAGGTGACGACTTTTTGTATATTTTTAATTGGGGATGATGAAGATGATGATGATTAAAGAATTTAAGAACGTTAGTTAGTGATTAATATAAATAATCTTTTATTTATATTAAGAGGTCAGATATCATGTAGAGCATGATGTAATTGATACTAGAGCTATTTATATTTTACAATTGAAATGAATATAATTTATATTTTCATCATGTTTTTGATCTATGTATGTAATAATATTTGTAAGAGTATACAAATGTAAAAAATTATTATTTTGATTATGATTTTTAATTCATATATTTTATCAAGTTTCTGATCCGTGTATTTTATTTAAGTAGAGCATAAAAATAAGATCATAAATATATATATTGTATATGATAAATCAAAGATACATTAAATAAACTCTTGAATCAATTATAGAATTTTATTTATAGATAAGCTAAATTATAAAAAATCTATTATATTTCTCACTATAAATAGGAGTGAGTACCATTTCTAACAAATGATTCAATTCTTAATAGTAAATTTTTTTTTTTAAAAAAAATTATGTGTGTCAAAAAATAATAGTTTTTAAAAACAAAATAGTATTAATCGTAATATTCAAACCAATAACTCCTAAAACAATACAAATAAAACACATAAATAAAGTTTTCTTTAAATTTGATAAACAATTATACTGATGTATATAATATATTTATATTATTGAGAATAAAAGTTTGTTCAAAACAAAAGAAAAAAAAAAGAAAAAAAAGAAGAATAATGTTGGGAGAAGTAATCATAGAAACGATATAACTTATATTGTTACATAAATAGTTTTTCTAATGTGCATTAAGGTTAATAATATTGATAAGATGTAGCTAAAAAAGATATAATTATGCAATATATAAATTAATTTAGGAAATATTTACTAATTTTAAAAAATATATAGAAGATATAAAATTAGAAGTAATTGTTAGTATATTGATTTTAGAAAAGATAAAGTATTCATAAATATTTTAAATGTAGTGAAAAATTAAGAGATAACCTAAACTTGTATTCTTTTTTAATAGATTAGATTGTTTCAGACTGGAAATAATTTTTAGTCTGAATTTTTTTTTTTTTTAGTCTGAGTTATAAGGGACGTCATAGTTGATATAAACCACTAAGCAGTAAACATTGTGTTCCACGTTTTCTTTAAGACTCTTAACATATTTAGTGAAAATTACAATTTTGTGTAAAGGTGAATTTTTTAATCTTTTATTGCATCAGAATATCAGCGAATATTTCCTTTCACACCATTGAATTAATTAGAGCAAAGATGGAGAATTTTGTTTTTTGTTTTCTTGTTGTTTAGACTTTGAAGATGACCAAGGAAGATGAGTATTATGTCCTAAGATATATATATTGGTTTGTGTCAAATTATTCTGTTTTCCATTTGATATAGTTGAACTTTTATATAATTTTTTCAACTAAAGTTTCTATATAAAATAATAAAAATCCAGGCTTGCATATATTTCGAAATCTCATGCAAAGACTTTGACTTCATCATACTTTTCTTTTTATTGACTGAACTTCATCATACTGCGAAGAGACCAAAGGGGGAAGTTTCTACCTTTTGGAGAGTGACGAGGGTGTAAAACTAATTTGCTATTTCTTATGCACCGAATTGGACAGTATAATATATTCACCGCTTAGAACTTAGAAATTAAATAATCAATTGATGACCGTTTTACTAATTAAAAAGCCAATAAATTCACAAGGGGACAAGTATCATCGTAGACAATAAAGTAGAGGAAAAGGTGGAAACGAAAGCTCAATATTATTATCTAGAAAAGTAAACAGTTTTTTCTTGTTCTTTCTGAAGCACCAAGTAGTAATCAACAGGTTGACCAACAACAAAAATCTATACAGGAAAAAAAAATATACATCAAACATAAAATTTAAGGTGATTCACTATAGAATTAAAAGTATTAGGATAGATTTTGAAATAAGCCAAAAAAGAAAGCCCCTAAAAAGAAACGCTGAAAGAACTAGCCGTTGGGGTGGGGTTTCTCAGATTCAAAAATCTCTCTCTCAACGAGCACTCACCTCCGTAAAAGACAAAAGAAGCCCCAAAACACGTTCATCATCATCTCTACCAAGAAACAAGAAACCTCTCTCACATTCTTTTGCTATTGTTTCTTCGATCTGAGACGATTCTATATCCCTTGCTGCCTGGATCTCCCATTTGGCTTCAGTTTTCTTTTCTCTGTAAGTGTTTGATCTCTTAATCAACTTTCTGTAAATCTGCAGAAATCTTGATTGAAACTTATAAAAAAAGTTTTTAACAGAAGCTAGGATTTCCCTTTTGTGAGCAAAAAAAATATCAGTTATTTACAAAAAAAAAAAATATCAGTTGATGTTTCCTTATATGAGTCTTTCCAGAGTTCTGAGTAATATTTCTGTATTTTTATTTTTTTTAAATATTTAAACCTAGAACTGATGAAAACTAAAAACTTAATTAAGATCATATATAATGAAAAAAAAAAAAAAAATCTGGATATTTTGTAGGGAGGTGACAATGAGAACTCCTGGAACACCAATTTCAAAAATAGACAGAACACAAGCTGTGACACCAGGTGGAAGCTCAAGATCAAGGGAGGAGAAGATTGTTGTTACTGTGAGGTTAAGGCCACTTAACAAGAGGGAACTGTTAGCTAAAGACCAAGTTGCTTGGCAATGTGTTGATAGTCACACCATTGTCTCTAAACCACAAGCTTCTCTTGAACGTTCTCTTCATCAGTCCTCATTTACTTTCGGTAATAACTTAAGTCCATATCTCTGTCTCCTTAGGGAAAGCTTATGCCTAAATGCACTGTTTTGTTTCAGATAAAGTTTTTGGACCAGAGAGTTTCACTGAAGATGTGTATGAAGATGGAGTTAAGAATGTTGCCTTGTCTGCTTTGATGGGGATAAACGGTAGTTTGCAGCTCTGTCTCTATGACTTAATTCATGTTCTATTTGGCTTTTACTTGGATTGATCATGATTCATAAGATGAGTAATCCTATTTTAATGTTTCAGCAACAATATTTGCATATGGACAAACGAGCAGTGGGAAGACATATACCATGAGAGGAGTAACGGAGAAAGCTGTCAATGATATTTACAATCACATCATTAAGGTTAAGCATTGTTATGATCAGAGTTACAAACCAATGTTAAAGATTGTCAACGCATATCTTTTGATATCATTTTTGTTTCACAGACACCTGAAAGAGATTTCACTATAAAGATATCTGGTCTGGAAATATATAATGAAAATGTGAGAGATCTGCTCAATTCAGACTCTGGCCGTGCCCTTAAACTTCTTGATGATCCAGAGGTATTTCTTTGCATTTTCTTGTTGATGTTTATGGCTTTGGTTGAATGTACACTAAAAACTTTAATGATGTGCAATTTCAGAAAGGGACTGTGGTTGAAAAACTGGTAGAAGAAACTGCTAATAACGATCAACACTTGAGGCGTTTGATTAGCATTTGTGAAGGTAACTTGAACTTGTTGCATCATACTTGGTTTCTTGTTCTATATTCTCCAAGTTTATTCTTGTTCCAACATGCTGACTTGTATCTCCTTTTTGATAGCTCAAAGGCAAGTTGGAGAAACTGCTTTGAATGATACGAGCTCGCGGTCACACCAAATAATCAGACTGGTAACGTTCTTGATTCATTATTTCCCTGGATCCAAAATTTCATACGCCCTGCATAATGCTGATTAACAATTTCTTGATGGCAAAACAGACGATACAAAGTACTCACCGCGAAAATTCAGATTGTGTGAGGTCATATATGGCTAGTCTGGTAAAATAATTACCTCTATGTTTAGTTTATTTTGGCAAAATGTTTATCTAGAACAGTGTGGATTTAATTAGTGTGTGTGTGTGTGTGTGTGGATGCATTGCAGAACTTTGTGGACTTAGCAGGAAGTGAAAGAGCGTCACAGTCGCAGGCAGATGGAACGAGACTCAGGGAAGGTTGCCATATTAATCTAAGTCTAATGACCCTTACAACTGTCATAAGGAAACTAAGGTAAGGTTCTTACATATATGTTGAGAGTGACATTGAAATCACAGACTCTTGCTAAGTAATAAACTGTCAATTTTTCGAAGTGTGGGGAAAAAAAGCGGCCACATACCTTACAGAGACTCAAAGCTCACTCGGATATTACAGCATTCACTCGGTGGAAATGCTCGAACAGCCATCATATGTACACTTAGTCCAGCTTCCACTCATGCTGAACAATCAAAAAATACTTTATACTTCGCCAACCGAGCCAAGGAAGTAACAAACAATGCTCAAGTGAATATGGTAATGATCTTTGTTCCATGCTTTTTTGCTCTATCTTGGATGAACACAAACAAAAATATTAACTTGCTGGTTTGGTAACCACTACAGGTTGTCTCTGATAAGCAACTAGTGAAACATCTTCAGAAAGAAGTGGCTAGATTGGAGGCAGAGCGTCGCACACCTGGTCCATCAACAGAAAAGGATTTCAAGATCCAGCAGGTTTCTTCTATTTACTTCAGTTTGTTCAGACAGAAAAAGTTTATAAAATGAACAAAAAGGTTTGATGCATAGTTGTATGATATTTTAGATGGAAATGGAAATGGAAGAGCTTAGGAGACAAAGAGATGATGCACAAACCCAACTTGAGGAGTTGCGCCAAAAGCTTCAAGGGGATCACCAACAAGATAAGGTCTTAAGTTTACCTCTCTGTCTCTCTTTTGTTTACTATATACTTTGCAATGCTTTGGCTGAAGCTTAAACTTTTTGTTTGTATCTCAGGGATTAAATCCTTTTGAATCACCAGATCCACCGGTCAGAAAATGTCTTTCCTATTCTGTAGCATTGACGCCTAGCGCGGAGAACAAGACTCTAAACCGGAATGAGAGAGC